CTAAGTATAATGAGATAGTTTGTTTTGCAATATAAAGTCGAGGATTATCTAAGTAGCCTTTTACAGTGAGAATTTTTAGACAAAATTGCGAGCCTTTCAGAAGCAATTTTCATTTATATCCTTTGGTAGGTCGATTATGCTTAAATGAGAATAAATACTGGGAACGGAGCGACATTTTGTGAATGAAATGTTAATGAGGAGAGTTTGTCGGAATATAACGTAAATATAATGGGCATGGAGTGTATTGTATTCACTTGGCTAACACAGACAGTTCCCGAACTCGTAATAGAACTAAAATAAAGAAAATTGGAATAAAATTATGGCCTAACCTCAATCTGGTACAAATACTGCGGGGGTACCCAGCGGGATAGGTTTGCGTCCAAATTGTTTTTTTATTTTCATTTTCATAGTAATTTGTGTCTATCATACATGCATGCGTCGCATCCATGCTGCGTCACGATAAGCAGACATTTTTAGTACTCAGGATCACTTGGGATCATTGTCCAACAATTCATTTCAATTCCGATCATTCTAAATTGTTTCATTATTATGAGCTTTGCCAAAATTGACAAGGCTAATTTCAGAAAATAAAAAGCTATTTTGATTATAAGATTCCTAAAACCCATCATGGAATTTTTCAATTTTGGCGCATTTTTTCCAATATTTCCGCTCTTTATAATTAAGATCATTTCCGTTATTAAACGGATTTATCTTGTTTATCTGACACAACGTTTCCCAGTCAGCGAGGAATTCCTTGCGAGGTAGAAATTTTGGTACTCCCGAAGTATGTGAACCAAGATGGCGGACACCGGAACGTGGTACGTGTACCAGGGTAGGGTTAGGCCATAATTTCAGGTACAAATACTACGGGAGTCACTTGGCTAGTACCCGAACTCGTTATAGAACTAAAATAAGGAAAATGGGAATAAAATTATGGCCTAACCCTAACCTGGTACACATACTACGGTGTCCGCCATCTTGGTTCACCTACTTCGGGAGTGCAGAAATTTTGCCGTTTGGGGAGGGATTTTGCTTTGTATTCGCGTATTATAACAAATATTCTTTAGTTTTTTGTTATTAATATGATACTTATTAATGAACGCGTAATACTTAAACTGTAGAAAAAACGAGAAAAGACTGGCGCATAATACTAGCTATATATTCATTAAAGATTGAACAAATAAAGTAGTTTTTATGTATAGTGCGGGAGGAATAAAGAATTGATAATAGGCATAGGGAGGAATTTAACAAATGTTGGGAACCACCGCAGAAACGAATGGACTGGTGTTTAATTAAGACTACAATTTGCCGAGCGCAATTGAACGCTAGAATGTCCAAAACGATTCGAATATCTGGATACAAATATAATCAATATTTGATATACTCATCGGTTCCCGTACATTTGAACCCACGACAATTGCACCTGCATACTATTGCACCTATGGAATTTTTTTTTGTTTTGCGTATATTTGAACCCATGCTAACCCTAACCCATAGGTTTTAGTACCCGCATATGTATCGAACCCGCGAATATACACATGGGTCCAAATGTACGTGAGTTCAAATGTACAGTCACCATACTCATCATATAGCGAACTTGTTATATTAGAAATAGGGGTAAACCTCTTTTTTTTTACATTTTCACTTTTCACTGTGAAGTTAGGATAACGTTTTATTTCTTCCTAAAAGTATTGTTTCTCATGAATATAACTGTATTTGGAATCTTTCAGCACATGAATAGAATAGGTTTTGGCCAGCCCCGTCACGAATATATAAATAGGCAATTATGAATCGGAATTAGTCCAATAACCGACCTGTCTGTCCTCTTTCGTGCTTAGACGTGATGAGCACATGTCTAGGTCTATCTTTACTTATTTATACAGTAATAGGAAATAAACTATTCTCGACTTTATGTTATTTAAATACATTCGTACGTAGCATTGTAATTTACTAGGTAAAACTAAAGTTTTGTTATTAGACTACGTGGTTCCGAACAATTATCAGTGTTCAAGGAATTATTTAATGTGCAGAGAGAAATGCTGTATTTAATAAAATAGTCTTAAGTCTGGTATAAAATCGTCAATACAATGGGGTAGTTTCTATTATTTGTGTGATTCCCGACTTGTTTTAAATTTTTACAAATATTGCGATTCCAAAAGAAGTTTGTTCTAGTGTGTAGCAACAGCAAGACTTTAAATTACGAAATATTGTATGTCAAATTATCAATATTTATTTTTTGCCTAATAGTTTCATACACGACCATACAAGTATCTGTCTCTAAATCTATTGACCTTTTTGTGCTGGATAAAGTCCAAACGCCAAACGGAATTTTCGTATTGAAATTTTAAAATCGAATCATTATATTTTTTATACAAAGTTTTTTGTTTCCATGTTTCGGTTTTTTAATTTATATCACATTCCCCCAAATATATACGGATAGTACTGAATCTAATAACTTGATCTGGCGTTCGACTTATCTTTCCCAGAACCCGATTTCCCCGTGTCGGTGATTCGTGATTGCGCAGTGAAAGTTGATAATAATACAGTGTCCCGACTAATTAAATAATTTAATTGCTTGGAATGTCCCGCAGTTAACTGGAATGACTTTCGCGAGTCGCTTCCTTTCATGGTGTTATTTGTTTTATGTTCAACGAAGTACAAGATTGTTAGTTATGCGGTTCGCAATGAAAGTCGAAGCAATGTTTTGAAGAGAGCGTTGGGCTCGCGGTCCGAAGCAAATACTTGAAAGGTCCTTATTCGGACCGTGGTCCGCAAGTTGAGTAGACCTGCACTAGGCCATCTAACTTCTTCGGAGCAAAAATTGTGTGTTGTCAAAAAATAAAAAAAAACATACTGAAAAGGGGGCTCCCGAAGTATATGCACCAAGATGACGCACAGCCTGAACTATAACCTGATACACATACTATGTTCAGATTGTGCGCCTTCTTGCTGCACATACTTCTGGAGGTCCCTAAAAAGACCACAAACAGAGTAATATTTGTGCACACGTAAGAAACCTGGCAAATGATAGTTTTGCACCAGGCACAGGGAGTGTTGCTATAACAACCAGCTCCAAATTTCGCCGACACCAGTAGTAATAATCAATGACTGGGGTCAGATAGGAATTTGTAGACAATAAGAAATTGAATGGTTAGTTATGCGGTTCGCAATGAAAATCAATGAAAGCAATGTTTTGAAGAAATCGTAGGGCTCAGAACAGATTTATAGTTTTTTGTGTTGTGGGTCTTAATAATAGACGTATTTCATAGTTATATTTGGACAACTGATAAGTAGTAAATGATATAGTTCAGTTTGTATGACTGTAATAATCGATTTAAATTTTGCTGCTAAAAAATATAGAAAAATCGTTCGTATGGTCAGACCTAAACGGCTACCAAATCAAAGAATGAATCCCGAGTACCGAAAAAATATATAAAAATGAAAAAAATGAACCCAAGCAGTATCGGTACTATGTTTATAAAATATTGATTGTCTGTATATCTCTAATAACAGATTGAAATTTCCCTGTCGACAAGATAGAAAATTCGAAATCGTTAGTATGTACGGACCTAATCGGTTACCAAATCAAAGAATAAATATCCGGAGAATCGAAAAATACATCCAAGCAGCATCGGTGGATACGTTTATAAAATATCGATTGTCAGTATATATTTGTAATAACAGATGAAAATCCCGTTGCTGATATAATATAAAAAATGCAAAATCGTTGGTATGGTCAGAAATGATATCTGACATGATACAGACATGATATTTTCAGTTAGTATATCTGTAATAACTTGAATAAGTTGAAATATCGTTGCCGATATAATATATAAATGGCAAAATCGTTTCCTAAACAGCAACCAAATGAATACGTGAATTCTAGCAACAAAAAAAAATGAATCAAAACAGTATCACTGTTGAGTGTTGATACATTATTTAAAAATATCACTGTCAATCTGTCATTATATCTTCAATAACAACTTGTATTTGACCTCATAATGTCTGTTGAACAAACCTAAATTTACGTTCTTATCCGTTTAGAGATGACAGCTCATGTTTCAATAATACCTGTTCAGTTAGACGTTTCTCCTTCTGAGTCAGAGACCTAACAAATTCATTTGTTTAGTTATGATTTTTTACATGGATGGGTGGGTTGTCAGGTTTCCTTCAGTATTGTTGTTTTATTATTTTCGCTGAAAATTTACATTTATCTGACAGGTGTGTTGTGTTATAAGACGTTTTGATGAAAGAATATTATGACTGTTTAGTAATTAGTGTGAGGGATGTATAAATGGGAAACTATATGAGTGAATGTAGCATAGGCGACCTCAGTTGTCTAAGATAAATAAAAGGCTTATTCTTTGCTGTATAAAGGGAATTTTAATTTTAGTCTAAATGTAGACTGGAATTAGGATACATGTGTCTTGTTGAACACAGACATGGGTACTCCCGTAGTATGTGTACCAGGTTAGGGTCAGGCTATAATTTTATTCCGATTTTCCTTATTTTAGTTCTATTACGAGTTCGGGGACTGCCTGTGTTAGGCAAGGAATGTCAGGAATATAAGTTGTTTTGTCTGTATGTTCTTGTGTATTTAATTCTAAATTGTGGTGTTTCGTGTGACAACTATCATGATGGCACTTCGTCGGTAGATTCCAGGGAGCTCCGGAAGTATTCGTACCAAGATGACGCACAACCTGAACAACCCTAACCTGATACACATACCATGTTCAGGTTGTGCACCTTCTTGGTACGAATACTTCGGGAGCACCGATCCCAGACTGCTACTGAGATGAAAGCTGAAATTTTATACTTGGACGAGTAAATGTTTTCTAAGATGTTTTAATATGTTTGAGTTTAATTATAATTCTATTTTTACAGATTTTATATTTAACTGTGTATATAATGAAGTAATTATATAATTAACTATATATCTAATTTGCCAAAGTTGCCTTATTTTATGTTCCAACTTATTGCCAATAGATTTTAACAACGCTGCCTTGCACTTACCTTGCTTTGCATTCTGAGGTCATTCGAATCACATCACTTTCTTTGTTATCATTCGTATCGCTTCCTCATAAATAAACATCAAAGCATTTGGATTGAAAACAGTTTTCTTCCGGACTTCTTCGTCGCTATTGTTAATATTACGTCATCACCAATCACTGACGTCGTAGTTGTATCACCCAAACGTCACCATTAATCATCTCGCCCCCTCCCCGATGCCGGTGGTGTTTCTGCCCTTCCAGGGCGGCCATACACCCATTACCGCCGCGCCACAATTGGTGTCAATGAGCCAAATGATGCCTCAAACATGCGGCCCTTTACCAATTGGTACAACCATGGCTACTATTGCGGCTCCTCCGACAATGTACGAGACGACGATTGTAGGAACGAAGGTGATTATATTATGTTTACTGTTTTATGTTATGTTGCCAAAATAAATCGAGATAGCCTAATATGTCCACAATGCTTGCATTGCTCGCATTTTTACAATTATTAACCATAAAAGTTCGGGAACCACTGTTATACACAATGTCATTGATATAAATGCGATGCAGGGAAACGAAGAATTTGTCTGTTGATTTTTGTAATGATATTTTTTTTGCAAAAGATGGCCTCATCTTTTCTTACGAACTCATTTCGAGCGATTTATTGTGCGAGTTTATCGAAAAATATAGAAACGTATAGGTAAATGTAAAATATAGTTATAAATATTAAATTTCCTATAATTGATATTTCTCGCCAAACGTATTCCCACAAATGGGCCGATTTGATATACCATTTGGTCGAAACAGTAAATTGATATTTCGCGCCAAACTTATTCCCACAATTGGCCCTATTTGATGTACTATTTTATCGTACTGGTAAATTAATATTTCGCGCAAAACGTATTCCCACAAATGGGCCCATTTGTTATACTATTTTGTCGAAATTTGACGTTGTTTTGACTGTCTTGTTTACATCCTTCCTAACATGTATCGATTCCCACCAAAACATCCACACGATCGCGTGATTTAACGCCCAGATTGTGGTGAAATTAAACCCCACTAAACAGACCCTGTTATTTCCTTACAAAACACACGGAAATTAACCCGACAGGGGGCATTTCCGTGTTGAATTTGTACGAATGGGTATCACACCTGTTGTGATCAAAATCTAAATAATGTTGGCCCCTGTTAAATTCTAAAATTTAAACGGATTTGCCCTCATGGAACGGAACACGGAAATTCGCATGATATAAAAAAAAGTTGACTTTTTGTATTTCAAAGTTCAAACGGCTTTGCCCTCAGGAAAAAAACACGGAAATTCGCCTAACGCCAAATTATTTGACCTTTTCTTTATTTTTTATTTTAAATGGTTTTGGCTACAAAACTTCGTCTTAGCAAGAAAATTTGACCCTTCAATAAAAAAATCTTAACAGTTTAGACCTCGGAAAGGGGACTAATTCGTTTAATTGTAAAATGTTACCAAGTTTTTTGAATTCAGTTATTTTTTGCATTTTTTTATATATTAAATCCACTTTAGCTTACGTTTCAAATTTCTGTTCTCATAATCACCCTAAAATGTCGCGACTAGCATATAATAATAATACATACAGTATATCTGTTATCATTTACTGGGTTTCAATATTTATAATGTATCAAAAACCTGTGTTACGTGTGTCCATCAGCTTTCACAAGTGTATCACAATACCCCGCAGGAAATTCCGATGTGGACAATTGGGATTGAAAAGTTCTCCCAAGGTAACGACTAACTGCTAACTACTAGCTAGAAGGTAGTCATCACATACCATGGGGTACATACAAACCATTGAATAAGCATGCAATGGTATCTGCGCTACAATGGAAAAATCGGCACATTCCACAGTCTGATTTGTATAACCGTTGAGCGGTAAAATGCAATATATTACCGATTCACACAATGTGTATAGGGTACAACGGTAAAATGCTATCTATTACCGATCGCCAATCGAATTATTTAACGGTACTACGGTAAAATGTTACCTGTTTATTTTTGTTATGTTACTCGAGGGCACTCAGTCTCTGCGGTTTGATAATGACGTACAGATTGACTGAAATTTTGCATAATTTTCAATTTAATACAACTCTGCTTCGTTGGCGTCACGATGAGGAGTGCATTACATTATTTTGGAAACACGGAAATGTCGTCAAGGCGTTTTAAAACGGCTTTGATTGCCAACTGCAACGGAGCGTGTACCTGTAACAGTAAACGAAACCTGAGATTTTGCTTTGAGAATACGTGCATTTAAATTTCGTGAGGCAAATTCATTTTTTCTTTTTTAACGATTAGGTATGTACATTTGAATTTGGATCGGTAATGGAGTGCATTTTTTCGGTTGTACCGTTGTGTATATACATCCCTGTGTCGGTAATGCCTAGCATTTCTTCGTTTTACCGTTATACAAATCTTATATACACCCGACTGTACATCGGCAATAGCGAGCTTTCGCTCGATCCAATGCTTTTTAATTAGTATCGTGCAATCATGATCGACTTTAATTACATTCCACGAAATATACATTGCCGTGTTTCGTTGTTAAACGCATTAGCCGGTCGTGTAATATAGCAAGTAATATAGTAATATAGTAATATAGCATCCTTCCTCGCGCCTTCAAACAGTACTAAAACACCGCAATTTTATATTAGAATGTCACATTTTTCATTATTTTATAATCCCAATGACACGAGTCGTTTGAAATCGTCTCACATACTTATTCAATATTTTGACATCGTTTTGACAAATATTGTGACGTAACATAAGGTCACATTTGTTATTATTTCGAGACAATATCAACAATAATTTGTTCCGTCCAACAGATGTCTGTCATTGTTCCGATCGATAAGCAAGGCTGAATGTTCGCGCTTTTTACCGTTACGGGCCTATCCTGTCAAATTTGGGATTTTCAATTAATATTACTCAGAATTTAAGTACTGATTTCTCTATTGTAGTGCAATCAAGAGTTACACACCAGTATTTTTAAAAATAGACAGTCAAAACATTTTTTCTAACTATTAAGCAAAAACAACATTACTCATTCTGTTCAGCCATTGTGTATAGGAGTAGCAATTTGGTGATTGATTGAAGTCCCCATCATAATTAGAGTATTTATTTAGTAATGAAAGCACTGTATAAATAAGTTGGACAGGTTCTCACAGATGTTTTAAATGAAGTAAAAATCTTAAACAATTTCTGATTAAAAAACAACAAACCCGGTTAAGACATATTGAGAACTGACTTCATAACAAAATTGAAATTGTAAAGGGACTTTATGTACACCCTGTATTTCCATCTGCGAGTTAATCAGCATGGGCTGGTACATAAATTTTTTGGCGCTCCCGAAGTATGTGCACCAAGATGGCGCACAACCTGAACCCTAACCTGGTATACATACTAGATTCAGGTTGTGCACCATCTTAGTGCACATACTTCTGGGGGTCCAATTTTTTTTTAGAGCAACTGCCTATCAATTAGCTATGGAGTCTTTATCCTATTTATCCTGTCTCAATAATAACAATTTCCAAGATCTTTTCTGGGTTAACAAACTAGAAAATTGTGTATAAATAAAAACTCATCATACAACTATTCTCAGCTAAATTATTTTATTATTACTGATGTTGATTTTCTGAATTCTAGTTTTCTATTTTGCTCAAATTTTTCTGTTTTGGGGTCATTTAAGGTCATATACACTGACCATGTGGTACTTCATTGTGACATAAGTTTAAAACATGTGAACTTTCTATTGGTCAATTGAATGAACTATTGATGCACTTCACACAAGTATGAGCAAACAAACACTTTCACACTATTGTTGTTTGTTTGCTAACAAAGATTGAAATAGATATATAAGTACCTAACAAGATTATGATGACATATTGGTGTTTTAGGTTGCGGCTGTGGCATCATAATACTATTTTAAGTGATGTATCTTAAAGTGATTAGAAAAACATGTTCATAGTTTAAACCAAAGTATTAGAAATGAATGAATACATTAGTTTTTATTTGTTATCAAGTATTTGACCAATCAAATTATTGATTAAACTTTAAATTTCGTTCATCGTTAACTATATTTATGAAATTAGAGCTCTTGCGCAAATAAATTTAACAAAAAATAGTTAGGCCTATTGAGAGAAATGTGATCAGAGTTTTTCTGGTTTGAAGTATTCAAAATAAAAAAGCTGTTATATATTAACTTTTTCAAATCATTGAATTTATTATACATGTTGCTGATGAAGAATGGAAACTACAATTTTGACCAATAATATTTAACAAAAAATGATAAAAAGTAATGTGCGCTAATATAAAACAAAAAGATAAAGTTCTGAATAATGAGGCTAAAATATCTACTTCTAATAAACTTGATAATATGCAAAATGGTTTACAGTACGATGGAAACAGTGGCTTGGAGGAGGTGCAAACTTTAAAAATATCTTTAATTATGTTTTTATATTATATTTGAGGTTTTTCTATTTTGTTAAATTTTTGTATCTGATTCTTATAACCTGTGGAAGTGATGAAATGGCAATAAATTGTAAATAATGCCGTTACTAGTTTGTTTTACTTACCTACTCTAATTTTTCTTGACTCATGGTATTCATCTTTATGCCTGGTTGTATGTTTTTTATTTGTGATTTTTCATGTTACAATATTAGCATTTATATTACCTGTCACGTGTGATTTCGTGTAAAGTGTGAATAGTTTAAAGAAAATTAAAATAAGGAAAAACAAAGTGTCATAGATGAAAAGACAAAATTCAGGATGCTTTCAAATTTTTCATTATTTTTTTTTGTTTTTAGAGAAACAGCGAAGATGTCTCACATTTGATGGCTGGATCAATAGATAATGGAGCAAAGAAGGTAGAAATTTTCTATTTAATTCGTAAGAACATATCAGTGTTTCAAATAGCATTACACTTTCACAATTTTTTCTGTATTATTTCGCTTGACCAAAGCTAGATTTTCTCATAAAAGTCTTCAACGCCAATGATCAATGCATACTATGCAGTCAATGAAATAACTGATTCAACAACCTTCAGGCTGAGAAAAAGCATCAGCCATTAATGACACAATACTCTGTCTCTAATTGACCATATAGTTTTGGTATTTTCGATTGCAGCATTTTGTTCTTTTCATTTACAGATCAAGACAGACCCAGGTGCGGTATCTAAGGTGGTCCATCTTCGAAGCCTCCCCACAGACGTTACTGATTCCGAAGTTATACAACTTGGTTTGAACTATGGAAGAGTTACCAATGTTCTCATGTTAAAGGTTAGATTTAATTCGAAATAATAAGAGATTAGTATGAACTAGTAAGCTCTTCATATTTCAAGCAAAGGTGTTGAGAAGCTTTATCATTCGACGAATCTTTTTGTCTAGTTAGGTAGGGACCCAGCAATCTTCTTTCATATAATTATACCCATCAGGATTCAGGAAATAAAAATATTGTTCACATAAATCAAAAAAATACATTGAAAATTTGGTTGAAATATCTTGAATAAAAATAATAGCTGTCTGGTGATTACTTTCATCTTTATTGCTGAAAATTCTAAACCGGTTTAGACTGGTTTGATTTGGTCACAACTAGCTTATATAGTGTTACGTATCACGTGATATACATTGAAGACATCATCTCAAACTGTGGTTCGCTAGCTTTTTTGACACATTCCTACCTTGTCCTATTACCAATCTTCTGATTCCTCTCACACTACAACTGCACCACAACCCCTATTTTTATTTGTTAATTCTTTTTGCAACGAAGCATTAACTTGCAATTCGTGCAACTTGTACTCTGGCTTATGTACATTTTCAATAGTATATAATGTATATATATGCATTGCAATAATGCTAAAAAGTAGTTTTAAGTAAAGTATACAAGGACCCTCCCCAGCTGGGAAACATTGATTTCAAACCAACAACTTCCTTTCCAGGGTAAGAACCAGGCCTTCCTTGAGATGGAGGATGATGAAACAGCTCAACGTATGGTGACAACCTGCAGTTTATCTCCGCCTTCCATCAGACAAAGAATGGTTTATGTTCAATACTCAAATCATAAAGAACTAAAGACAGATAGCTCTCCTAATCAGTTGGTGAGTGTCTTATAGGGATTCAGGAGTTATGCAACTTTCATGACAGAAATGCATATTCAAAAAAATAAACATTTTAATGATTGACAGTATAGCAGTTGCTAATTTTTTCACAAAATAGTCGGTTTTTTTTATAAGAAAGCATTGGAGGGCTGTGTAACAAACTTCTTATCCTGCTTGGTTCTTTTTACATCTTCAATTTAGTTTTTCCTGTTAGCTTTTATTCACCGATTCAGCGGTGATAAATATATAAATCTTATCTTGATTCTAATTTCAGAAGGCACAAGCTGTGTTGCAAGCACTCCAACAAACAGAGGGTGGAACCAACCATGTACTGAGGGTTGTTGTTGAAAATATGATCTATCCTGTCACACTGGATGTTCTGCATACAATCTTCTCAAAATTTGGTGTTGTATTGAAGATTATCACATTCACTAAGAATAGTAAGTTGTTGTGCTTTTTGAATTAAGGATAAGGATAAGATAGGAATTTTATCCAGGGGAGAGGAAATCCGGTAAGATGACTTTATCATATGGTTGGGGGTTTAGGCCTCTTGAAATGTAAAAAACATTTTTCTTTATCATACATAGCTTGAAATGCTTCTTAGGCCATTAGAAACTTCAGATCCCCACCTTAAAAAGGAACTATAGAATAAACCAAATGACTAATACATAAAGTTCTTAGAGCAACATTTGTTTTGATACAATTTTCCAGTCAAGCTTAATGGTACAATCTTCACCAAATATGTGGTTATATTGTATAACCTTAAGTGGATACAGGTGGTCCAATGACAACGTATAGCGTAATGATAGGTTATTTTGTGTGGTCTATTGTGTTGCAAATATTCCCATGACATGGAGTATATACAAAAGTTAATCGCGTGAAATTAGTGTTGAACTCAAAAACGTCCAATTGTTCAAAATATTATTTAAGTTGATTGCGTGTAACAGAATGTTATCTATAATCTTCTGTATGTGCATTGGTCAATGGGTAAATAATTTCTCATAAGATGAATTATCTTGCAATGTTTTTTGTATCCTTTTTATCACTTTTCTATTATAAGTTTGTCTTTTATACCGACATAAATTTAACAAGGCTGAACAATGGCATGCGCTTCAGTTTTTTTAATTTGTAGCAAAAGTAATGCTGAAATATAGTGTCTACACATTTGTAAATTGTCTGTCTTAAGCAGTATGCTTTACAATGTAACAAAATTTTTACTCTAAGATGGTTATCATGTAGAAATCTGTGACCAGTATTTGTAAATTTCCGACTTTTGTATTCTCTTCCACCTATTTTGTTCAACATTGTTTCTTTATTTTATAGATCAGTTTCAAGCATTGATACAAATGGGAGATGCAGTTCAGTCACAGACAGCGAAACTGGTGAGATATTATGTTTTTTTACTTCGGAATGTTTGCGCCATATTCAAATTATTTATTTCATGTCGCTGAATAAAGCAACCTTCAAATTGAATGCGATATACTGAAGTTTTAGCGGCCATTTTACTTATATTATTTGAGAATATATTGTTAGTATAATACATGCATACTTGGCAAGGTTTTTTGAGAACATTTATGACTAGAAATTAGGCAGACTTTGAATCTGAATTGTATAATTTGAATAAATCCAGTACAAATACATAATCAAATTAACAAATTAAATTGAACATAGAATATACAAATTTTTGTGGCGATTTCATTAAGAATGCGTGCGTACTCATAGTAGAGCTTTCTGGCCTTGGTATAATTTTTTGTATTCGTGTGTGCAGTTGTTTGCATATTCAGTACTCGTTTTGGGAATGACCTTATTGCCGATCAGCCGATTGCAGGTTGGCCAACTGTGCATTAGAGAATTGATTTATGAAATTTACATTAATGCAGTCCCTCCTAATATCAATGCTTTTGAATTTTTATTAACTTTTTTGTGCAATGCCAGTGCAAGTCTTAAACATGGCACTTTTAATAGAGTTTTGTAAGTTCAGCGCAGCGCTAAGATGTTGTTTTCCTTTTTAGTCTCTTGACGGCCAGAACATCTATAACTCCTGTTGTACATTGAGAGTGGAGTACAGCAAGATGGCGGCACTCAATGTCAAATACAACAACGATAAAAGCAGAGATTACACAAGATCTGATCTACCTTCAGGGGAAACACTCGACCCGTCTGCTGCTCTGCAATCAGTTTTGGCTGGTGCTGATATGTATTCAGGTATGGAAGTTTTAGATTTAGATTTTGTTTTATATACAAGGTGGTGTCTAAAAGATTTTAATAATAATAATGATAATTAAAAACTTCTTCGGCTTTGTGTATAATTAGTTCTTATTGTGCTCGTAGTTCTCATTTATCATATAATGAAATTCATTCAAACTTGAAAATTGTTAATAAAATCGAGCAAAAATTTTTTACCATCCTGTATTTGACTGTATATCTGTGGTCAATCCTGTTTCTGTCTGCCAACTATTTATCCTTGTATGCCTTTGCACAAGAGCATCCAATCCGTATGCATATGATGCAGGGATATGGGCATAGCCGGGAATTAAAAAAAAAGAGGGATTATGAAATTTTTAATTGCTAAGTCAGACCGTATAGAAGATAACTTCCCTCAGTGATTCAAAGAGTCTTGTTTCCCACCAACACAAATGTACTCATGCAGCGTTTCTGTAACAGCCATATTTTGGAAGGATTGTTTCAAGAAAGTTATCTGGAATATGAAAATCTTAGTATATTTATCAGTTCATCCCCTAAAACCCATCCTGGTTGCACCATTGTTCCAGCGTCTATTGATTCGTTGGTCCTATAACTTCTCTTTCCAGGCACATCAGCCTAAATTCAAATTAAATAACCGGTTCTAAAATGATGAGTTATGGAATATACCATATTTCACTTGTATCGCTGCCTGTAATTTGATTTAAGTCTGTATATTGCTTATAGTTATCAAATATACCATTAATACCGTCTGTTTATAACTCATTATACAATCTTTCCAGGTACATCAGCCTTAATGCCGAACCCTTACTCACAAGTTCAAAACAATAACTTTGCAGGACTGAACGCACAAACATTATCTGCAGCTCTGTCATCAGGAACTGCTGCTCAGTATCTACAAGGTGCTCTGGGAGCTCAAGGTGAATCTTGGTTTCATACTGTTTTTCATGGCCTATGGTTTTGGATAGGGTGACAGGTAAAAAATTTGAGCATTTCGAGCACTGCACTGCCAATTTTAGAGGACTGTACAAATGAATAAACATACTCTCATTTTGGTACTCCCGTAGTGTGTGTACGAGGTTAGGGTTTGGCCATAATTTTATTCCAATTTTCTTTATTCTAGTTCTATTACAAGGGGACTGACTGTCTGTGTTAGTTGAGTGAATATACCCCATGCCCATTGGTTTCAGTCCCTTTACACAACTTGATGTAAAGTAGGCGAACAAAATTATTTACCTTAACAAAATTGGTACGCATACTTCTGGAGTGCCCTCATTTCATATATATATATATATATATATATATTCTGCATGAGCGTATTCTGGAAGTCGATTTAACAAATTTAAAAATAATACAAAAAAATTCCAGTCTATACTATAATTACATGTATTGTTTGTTGTACTTTATGTGTTATACAATATACTTACATCTGGGTAAACTAACTGGCTAACTTTTCCCACATACAGCATGCACCGTGGTTTACCACATGATCAAGTCGTCTTATCGGCATCTTCCTCAAGATAAATATGAAAATCCCATCCTATTTTTGAATATCAGCTGACTGGTCAGCTACTCAGTCATGAAGTCTGACAATAACTGGTAAACCATCACCTTGTATGGACCAGTAACCAAACATGAGCCCTTGATTCACTATACAGTCAAGACCTCTTATAGGCCTCCTTTTTTACTTATCGATCTTGATCGGTAAGTATGTTGATCGGTATTTGTCTGTATGTCTGTGTGTTAGATGCACGCGATATCTCACGAAAGCTAGGTTCAATCTGCTCCAAATTTTACATGTGCATTCATCTTAGCTCGGATCAGAAGCCTATTGCTTTTGGATGGATTATGTTGTATAATTAGCGAGTTATCAATTAATTAGTGATGGGACACATGGTGTCACTATAGAGTAAGACCACTGTTTTGGGGGGTACCCTAACCTTCGATCGATAAGTCTTCGGTTTCTAACCGAATTCTAGTTTATTAAATTAATATGAAATCCTATTTCATCTCAATGATAAACTTTCTCTTATTCAATCCTATTACAAATTCTTCTTTTAACTCAGATCTCACCGGAGCCGCTTTTACCAATGCAGCAATAGCAGCTCAGCTTGCTGCTGTCACTGGACTCCAACAAAACACAGTCCTACATGTGTCTAATCTCAATCAGGACGTAAGTTTTTTTTTTTAAAGTTACTCAGACACCAAATATTTGATAATTCTATTATTAATGGTGGTTTTGCTGAAGGGAACATTCATTTTTGTCGTGTATTTCTGAGTTGGTATTTGTAATTTGATGAATTTACTCCTACGAAAAACATTTTGATCATAAATAATCAAAATCAGGTTTCATCAAAATTGGAAATTATGTTGAATTTTTGTGAATTCATTTCGGCATCAATGGTCAAATTGTGTAAAAAAATGTTTCTACATTTTCTGAAAACTAAATCAAACCAAAATCACATCATTAAACATCTGCGCAATCTCTCACATCTGCAGGTATAAATATATAGAGCAATTCGACTGTTTATCATCATTTCTTTAATTTTTATAAAACTCTTCTCAAATTTTAAAGCAAGTCTTTCTGTTGTCTTCAGCTTAGCCACCATTGCCTCCTATATCAGTCACTGAATTATATAATTGAACAATTTGAATTAAATTAAAAAAGAACTCTTTTCGTAATGAAGATTCTCTATTTTTATTTCATCTCTGCGACTACGGAACTCTTCTGGTTACTATGACCTATGAACTGTGAACTTCGACCTTCACAATTTGAAAAAAAAATCAAATTTAAAAAATTCCCCTCTGCACTATACCCTAACACCTGCTATAACTATTTGTAATCTGGTAATTATAATTAACCCTAATTAATTTGACCTTATGACCTTTTAAATTTGACCTCCGACCCTAATGGTCCTACTCTTTGCTGCCTCGTCTCTGGTCTGGAAAACTGCTGATTCACTCTGAAAAATGCTGACTCATTCTCCTGTTATTCTACAGATGGTTACACCTCAAGTCCTCTTTATACTGTTTGGTATGTCTTATCTTATCTCTATATTTTATCTTTATCTTATCTATATTCCTTATCTAGATATTTCTGTGCTGTTCAAAAATTCTTGTCTCTTATATGAGAATCAATTCTTGAGTTACACAACACTGAGTTTTTCCTAAATTAAAAAAAATAGTTATGTTATTTTACATTTGTTCTAAATTTCATTTTGCACAATTATAATATCTTAGTTGAAATTTTGATATAGCTCACTATATTTAGTTAGAATTTGAATAATGGTAATTTTATGCAGTGTTCAAATAATTGAAGTGAAAAAACTTGGTGTCATTAATGTAAAGTACTTTATTGTGGGCTCTTCCATTAAATGCTCCCTTTCTATTATATAAATCTTAAATTGTGATATGAATTACCGGTATAATATTATTTTCCGAATAAAACTTGATATTTCTCAAAATATATTTTTTTTTTTAAATCCATGTGACTTCTATGTCTAAATCGAATTCAAACATCAGAATTGATTTTAAATAAGTTATATTAACACTAAATTACACTTAGGTTTAGGACACTTTTGGCCTCATTCCTATGAGTATATATACCTATCCTAGCGACTCTGTTTTCTGAAATGATAAAATCTCTGAATAAATTAACTGTATTTTTGATTATAGTCTACATTAGATATTCCTTCACTGCATATATACCACTTACCAGTGTTTATAATTTTCAGCAGTGCTCACAATATAAGTTATACATGGTGTTCATAAAGTCCGGGATTAAATTAAGTAAAAGAACTTTGATGTGCTTTGTGCAACAATTGGCGGGCATGTAAAATTGTATTAAATGAAGTGAAAAGACAATTACTGATTAAAATAAAACAAACCTGGTTAAGATATATGAAGAACTGATTTCATGACAAAATTGAAATTGTAGAAGGACTTTATGAACACCCTGTATATTACTACACTTCTTTGTAAACTATTCCTATATGTCCCCTGATTCGGGAATAATCCCTGCATTCTGACCTTTGTCTCTGCTTTCTGTTTCTCTCGTTACTTCCATCGTAGCGTTCTCATAACCATATTTATTGAATCATAGGTGTATACGGGGATTGTATTCGTGTAAAAATCTTGTATCAGAAGAAAGACAGTGCTTTAGTGCAAATGAACGATGGCACACAGGCACAATTAGGTAAGTTTCCGGTAGAATTATTCGTATAATCCCTAATTTGAAACCCTATGAACATCGCCTGCACCTCGACAAAAAAAATGTAATTTTGTTTAATGTTTTTCATTAGTTATTTTATTCGCCACATTTACTATTAAAAAGTCAACAATCAAAAGTAAAAAATAAATGTATTATGACCAAGTATTTAAATAAATAAATCACAGTAAGCTTTTAATTAATTAGTGCGGTCAATGCGAATGGTTCCTAGTGGAGGCCTTGTCCCACGGGTCCTCGAAGAATTGATCCCTGAACCCCTGGAATGTCCCAGGATCCAGTTTTTAAAATCCTGGTATAGCCAATAACAACAGTTTACTCATTCATCTTCTATTGTTGAGAGCTTATAACAAAATCTCATTTAGTGCATCAACATTTTATGGTTTTATTAAATCTGGGCAAATGCTAGTGTGTTCCTAATGCTAATCATGGCACATCATCGTGCTTCTTTACAGCGAGAAATCTTATACCCGACTTGGACTGGCAACCGGACGAAGGCACGTTAAGCCGTCTTTTCGGTTTTCTCTCCCCCTAGATGAATATGTAAATCCTATTCCAGAAAAACACCAATATAGTCATACAAATGTTGTGAATCCTCTTTTTCAGCTCTGAGACACTTGAATGGAGTGAAGCTCTTCGGAAAGCAGATGCATGTTGTCTTATCGAAGCATAGCCAAGTACAAATGCCAAGGGAAGGACAAGAGGCCGCAAATCTCACACAGGTTAGTTTGTTGATGTAAAATGGCATGGTGCCCTGTAGGGCTGGGCATTTCAAATCAAATCGAATAATAAATTATTTAGAGAAAATTTTCGAACCGCCGCCATCTTGTTTTACTCTTTTCGCCAATGGTCGAGGTAAATTTCTCAATTTTTTTTCATTGAAGCTATATTTTTCCAACACAACTCTTTTCTGTATTGAGGTATTGATAAAAACGTGTTTTTTATATTGTCAGTGATGTATTTTATGTTTTCAAAAATTTATGTGTATGGAGGACCTAAAATAATAAGAAAGTTACATACAATATCATACCTTCCAAGTATTCGAGATTCGATTCGAAAAAATTATTCGATTTGATTCTGAAATCATCAGGTATTCGAAAATGCCCATCCCTAGTGCCCTGGTACTGACAGAAGGCCTCGTGTAGATTAGTGCCACAATAACTTTCAGTCGGTGTGGCGTGACAATTTTTGCGTATGCTCTTTGTCAACCTATTGTCTAGGGCTCGGCTTCTTCAGAAGTGAAGGTGGAAAATTAAATATTTAAACATTTCCATTCAGGATTATACAAACTCCTCTCTTCATCGGTTCAAGAAACCTGGTTCCAAGAATTTTCAGAATATTTACCCTCCTTCACAAGTCCTTCATTTGTCCAACATTCCGTGAGTTGTTTTAACTTTTTATTACATTTTTAGGAGGAATGCACCATGAATTGAATGTTTTAAGACCCTGCCAAAATAATGTTTTTTGCTTAAATCATGGAGGCTTTTTTGTGAATATTAGCTATTTGCTCATAGTTTTTAAAACCTTGTAAAAAGTTTGAATTTGTTATTCCTATTTGATGATTCACGTTTGTGTATTTCCCCGACAGAGTTTATTTGAAGTCTTTTAAACTACTAATATCTGTCATTATTATAAACTTTAAAATAGCACCTGGCATGTCAGCGGTCAACTCATTTTGCTTGTAGTTTTTTAAACTTGAATAAAATTGAAAACATTTTTCCTTATCACATCTGTGGATATTTTGAAGTTACGAAACTTATCACTCAAGCTAAAGTAATTATTCCATATTTTTGTCATTACAGAGCTGACATTACAGAAGATTTCTTGAAGGAACAGTTTTCTAAATACGGAACAGTAAAAGGATTCAAGTTTTTCCAGTAAGTATTCCATCTTCTTGTGTAGGCAATGTCTGTTTGAATAGATCACAGGCCGACACAGGGTCTGTATGTTCGAGCAGTTGTAGTTCTTTGCATGGTAATTTCTTTTATATTCTGGCGATATAAAACTGCATAGTGTGAATTTACAGAGACCAAACACTGGTGAATTTCAGTATTATCAAATTGTATTTTATCAGATATGAGGGGGCTAACCTGCTAAAAGCATAAGGATTGGATTTACTAAAATGTATGAAGGTTTCGAAAGAGCATTGTTGTTCTATTCCAGTGATGGCGAACCACTGGTTACAATGTGGCCTGTAAATATTATATTCAAAGATCCTTGTGATCCAGGGTGAAAATGTCCGCTATTTCTGTTATATATGATATCTTTTCATTGTGGCTAATAATTAATTCTATATTGTTACAACAGGAAAGATCGTCGTATGGCATTGATACAATTGATGTCAGTAGAAGAGGCTGTGGAAGCACTTGTGGTAGGTTGAGTTACTTTGGATTTGTGAAGAGTTTCAGGAGTATGGTCAATTGCTAATAATATAGAATTTTAAATTATATCAGTAGTTCCAAAGCCGGCGAAGCGATTTAATATGGCCCGCCGAACTCGAGTGAAAGAGTTTGAAAACACTTTGTCTTTACTATTTCGCGTTCTAGATACTGTGAATTGTTACGTCATTATCACAGTTTAAGCACATTTTAAATTTACCGATATCTTAATTATGCGAACCGGTATTGGTACCGGAATCTTTTGGCGCTTCCCACTCCCGCCCACGAATATCCTTCTGCTTCTAATTTTGGCCCGGCCAGGTCAATCAACTTAGAGAACCCTAACTGATTTAAACTATACTCAGCGCATCACAAATTAATTAACGCGGCGGTGTGGCTCAACGGGCTAAGTGTAGGAATACGCTCGCCACCGCACCTCTAATTGCTCTGCGTGGGTTCGCAGGTTTGAATCCCATGCAGGGATGGTAATGTGCGAGAGGATTGCTGGGCTCCTCGCCGTCGTTGGGTGGTTCACGTTAATGCTGGTCGGTTACGGCTTCCTCCACCACCAAGTCCATGCTTCCGAAAACAAACAATATAACTAATCCCATACCCGACTTGGAATAGTACCCGGACGAGAGGCCGTGGTTCGCCATATGGATAAGCTGTCTTATCGGCTTTCCTCTCCCCCGGGATAAATATGTAAATCCTATCCTAATCCTATCCTATCCTAAAAACATCTAGTTCAAATCTTACACTCAACACCTTACTAGGGGTGTAATAAATTAGGTGGACATTGCTGACCTGACCTTCTCTGGCTACCTCTGATTCAATAATGATTAAATCTTCACAAAGACCTTTTGGCTGGGACGGTGAATCTAACTCGAGAAATACATTTAAAATGTATGATGAATAATGTGAAACATTTCTATTTTTTAGATTTATGAGAAAAATATTTTTAAAAATTAAAATTATGAAAGTGCGTTTTAGCTAATTTTAGATTTGATGCAAGTCTGTCTGAGATACTGTACTTACTGTCAACATCGTTAGTTTTAAAACTCTAATATTAGATATCTGAACCTTTGGTGTCGCTGTTAGATAACCATCTTTGGTTCCCTGTGACTTCTCTTCCCCAGTAAAACTTCTTGTAATTTGTGGCGACTGGTAATTTTTACTTTCCGGAAAAAATAAACTGACTTAATACCATGTTTTAAGTCTGTTTGCCAATTCTTTGTTTAAAGATAGCATAGAACTGTATATTCTATATAAAAATTTTACTTTTTCTTTTCAGAATCTCCACAATTTCAAGTTGAGCGATTCCAATCATTTGAGAGTTTCATTTTCGAAAGCTCAAGTTTAGTCATGTGACTATAAACAAGCCTTCTGATTGGCTGATGTGTGATTTTACTACGTTCCACTTAGTGGTTGACTTTTCTTGTTAGTATTCTTTGAAGGGAGAATTGGACTTCATAAAGCTGTATGTGTAGTGTTTCCACCTCATTTAGAAATCACGGTTTCTTGGTCGAATCCCACTTTTATCATCATGATTGTCTTATAAAATTGTTATGGATGGATCTGTATGGTGCTCTGCGATATCCAGGGCTGGCCAAGATCAGAAAAAATATTTGATGGTTGGATATTTTTTTTACAAAATTAACAGAATATTCAAATATTTTGTCTGTGCCATTAGTTTACAGCCACGCATCCAGGTCTGGCCAAGATCAGATCAGTTATTATTTGTTTCGATATTTTTAACAAAATGAACAGTATATTCGAATATGAATCTTACTGCTTTGCCATTTTCAATTATCAGGTTTACTCATAGAATATAAACCTAAATTGTATTGAAATTAGAAATTGATTTTTGAATGTTTACTGTCCCGTTGACTGAGTTCAAAACTTTCTCCCAAGAATTATGCAAAAAATATTTCAACTGGTTCGCTTATGGATATTTGAAGCACTCGGCCTGTCCTAATGATATGATCAGATCAAGTTGAGATCTGAAGAGTGGTGGCAAGCTAAAATTTATTGCTCTGTACCAGAACTGTGAGTTCTGGGAAATTTAATATTTACCCCGTTTCGGGTTGTAAAACAAATTTTGATGACCAAAGTGCCATGCTGAGGAGAATTCGAACCCCGACTCAAGAATTGTAAAAAATTTGTCTCAGACTTTGGCATATGCAAGTCTTGTTTAATAGAATGTAAAAATCACTTAGTACATACACTTAGATAAAATTTGACTGTTTTTTTTTTTATTAATCATAAATACTGACTTCAGTGATAACATGCCCAACTACGAACCAAACTCACAGTCATGGCTTCAATAATCTTTGGTTATGCTTCTTTCCTGATGCGGCATCAACAATGTAGATTTCAACCATCTTTCCATTTTACACATCTGACCAGCCATACTGCCATTCCAGGCATGACACATTGCTTTTGTGATAAATGTGATCGAAACTATTATAATATGTGGCATCTGTATTTCTGGGTGTAAATTTACCCAAATGCATTCATTCATTCTAGAGAATTTTCTCTTTCCATCTTATTTTTCATGGCTTAGTCGTAAAAAAGCATGATATTGGTGTATAGTCACTTTTCTTGTTTTGTTTTTCTTTCCATTGTGCTTTTTTCTTTATTTTAGCATCATTATTTTGCTACATTCCTTATAATTATTGGCATTCCTCTTTGATTTCAAGCCAAAAGGATTTTTTTGTTGTTTTTTTATTATTTTTTTGTGTGAATGGGGGTATATTTTGTGCCTGCTGAAGATATATAGTGCACAAACGGTATTAGCAAAATAAAACAAATTGTAGAATTTTCGAACTTCTATACGGCAAAAACATATCATGTTCTGATCAAGTTTTTCTCTTTTATCTAGAAATTTGGCAAACGCAAGTTACATTGTTTTGCTAATACAGACCTGCACCCTATATATAATATCTCTAACATTGGTTTATTATGTCTTGATGACACAGAAGAAGGAATTTCTGTAAAAAATTATCGACCATTTCAATTCCTATAACATTGCTTCCAAAATGACTGTTGTCAGCTTTTACCATGTTATGAACACTCGATTTTTGTTATCACTTATAAAGCATAGCCTTATCAACATTAGATTCATCCCATTTGTTGTGTGGAGTACTGAGGTGCCATAAAAATAAGATGCCGTTGTTAGCCATATGATTAAACCATCTTATCGGCTTTCCTCTCCTCTAGGTCGAATATTAAATTCCTATCTTTTGTCTTATTCCACTTGTGAAACAATTTTAGACCATGGCAAATGTAAATGGCATGGAAGAATACAATATGTGAATTTACAAATCACTCTTGGATTAAAATACCATTCCCTAACAATTCGGGATGATACATTCCTCACTGTCCTGATTTGTAAAAAGTAGCCCAGAACAGCTTGTCAAGAGTCTTGTTAAGAGCTAATCGGTGTGTTTAAACACTTTTTGTAAAAATACAGCAAATTGATGTTATTTTTAACATTGTATTTCACTGCAGCATTTCGTAACCAATGTAAATCATTTATATATATATATGAGCTGGTTGTGGACCAAATTCTTGTTTGTATGTTGTTAGAAAAATACAATAATTACACTGGTATCTCTGAGTATGTATAACCTATTAGTTTTTATTCATCATGACCCACTTGGCACGGCAAAATTTTTACGTGACCCTCATTAATAAAAATAAAAAAAAGTGAAGTTGATAATACCTTTAATGAGACCGATGTGCTTGTATATTCTCGCACAAGAGATCGAATCTTAGCTCCATTTCGATGATGATGTATCTCCATACTGGTTCCAAATCTTTCAAATTTGGTCAATATTTTGTTTTAACATAAGTTATTGTCAAAAAATTTCTTACTGTTTCTTCGATTGAGCCATTTCGCAACCCACGTTGAGGGTTGCAGAAGACCCCCAAGTTTGAAGAGCCCTGACCTGAAGAATTAGTTTTTAAACTTTCATGATCTGGGGCTCTTGTAAAATAAACACATTATATATGTTAGTAATATGTGCTTGCTCGGAGCAAAACAGATCTACTTTGGATTCTTCAAGTTCTAACCAAATATAACTCAACTGGGCCATATGAAAAAACTAGATTATTCTAAACTGTAGAGTTTTCGATCATTTCAAACTTAAGCAGCTTTATACATGTTAAAAAGTGCTTCTCTAGGGTCCTGTTAGTGTGAAATATTGTGGTAACACCTCGGCTTCTTTTTACTGAGAAGTTTTGGTAGTCAGATACTACTGTAATTGTTGCATTTTTCAAATTTTTTTATTGTGTCGTCATAAACTGTATAGCCTTCAGTAGTTTTTATTTCGTTTTTATTATTTTTTCTATTTCGTGAAAAATTATTAATTGTAAGTATCATGCTACTCCCGTGTTGCCAAATTGAGCATGCTTATTGATGTTGAGATTTTCTAAATATCACTCTGAAATATGGTTTAAAGAGGGTATTTCTGGCAACACTAAACACTGATGTGAGATTTTTATTGTACATTCCATATTTTATTCCAGTCCTAACTATGAACGAATCCACTCAAAGACTTTAAGAAACCGATGCGATATGTTACGTCATAGATAGTGATGTCATACATAGTGACGACTTAATATCATGTGAAGACTCAAGCAACATTAAGATATATGAATCTTATTTATCATTCTTTGAGTATTAATTCGACAATTTGTACCTGTATATCACCTTCGTAAATATCATTTAGGGAATCCCCCCTCCCGATTCAAACTTGTCTGCATGAGGCTGTCGTGATTGTAAGCTTATAGTGACGGAGTTGCCTGGTGATTAACTACTGCTGTGAAATATTATTTTTTTGAATCTCAATTAAAACTAGTGTCGGTACTGATCATATTTTATTGAAGTGGGTCAATGACAGTGGTTTGCAGGGGCGCAGCCAGAAATTTTCAAAGGGGGGGGGGAATTCTGAAATTTTTTTTTGTTAAGTTAGATCGAAACTGCTAGCGGATCCGATCAAACGCTGGAATACGCCTGTTTTTAGTAGTCTTGGGGTCTAGAATGCATTTCAAGCTACGGCTAATTGCTAATTATGATACAGAAAAATAAGTTTATTTTTTTTACATTTCAAAAAGGGGGGGAGGGGTTCGACCCGCGAAACCACCCTCCTGGCTACGCCACTGGTAGTTTGTGTAGTTTGCTTCAGAGGCGTAACCAATGGGGAGGGTTAAGGGTCGGACCCCCTCCCTCCTTTTGAAATGTTCTGTACCATACATAGCTTTTTTTTTGGAGCTTCAAACACATCTTAGACCCTCAAAGAGTCTTGAAAACCCACGATTTCGGCCCCCGGTCTTGGGAATTGACAATTTCAGAACCCTCTCTTTGATTCTTGGCCCCTGGTCTGCATGACATTAAAAATTGGGAGGAGTCTAGGATTCAGGGGTGTGTGCAAACCGTTTTTGATGTGGTACTCCCGTAGTTTGTGAACCAAGATGGCGGACACCGGAACGTAGTATGGGTACCAGGTTACGTTTAGGCCATAATTTTATTCCAATTTTAGTTCTATTACGAGTTCGGGGACTAGCCAAGTGACTCTCGTAGTATTTGTACCTGAAAGTACGGCGTAACTCTAAACTGGTACACATACTAAGTTTCGGTGTCCGCCATCTTGGTTCACATACTTCGGTAGTACCCATAGTAGTGGCATAGTTTTCTAAAGAGGGAACCTGCTGGCAAACTGTTAGTGAATTCGATTAAAAAAGCGTTCCTAAAACAGATATGAAACTTGTACTTTATAAAGTATAAACGAAGTATATACACTTTCGGCTTCACATACTTCCGCAGTCACATGTTGCATTATGTGGGTGATTGAAGTTGCAACACTTCTGCAGAGATAATGACTGGTGGGCATCACGAGCTTATGTTGAGTCATTCGACTATTTGTTTTAAATATACGAAACGAATCTTTACATTAAGATTATGCAAAGGTATTTCTGAAAATAACTCTCTTGCGTGTGACTTTCCCACGCAAGTAATAAAAGGAATATGTACTGAATTTAGCCCACTATGTATATTGATGGCTGATGAAAACTTGTTCATTCGTAAAGGTTAGGATCCTCATATTTTATGGGCAGGGCTGGGCATTTCGAATCGAATAGTTAATTATTCGAATCGGTTCAGAGCAAAATTTCGAATCGCCGCCATCTTTTTTTTTCTTCCTGCCAATGGTCGAGGTGAATTTCTCATTTTTTTTCGTTGAAGCCATGTTTTTTCAACGCAATTCTGACATATGACTATTTTCTGTATTGAGTTATTGATGAAAACGTGTTTCATGTTATCTATGGACGCTCAGTAATCTGTCTGAGTGATATATATATTCTATGTTTTCAGTATTGCATTTGTTGACAGGATCAATTACAATAAAAAGTCGCTTACAATTATATATTTCCAAGTATTCAAGATTCGATTCGAAAAAAATATTCAATTCGATTCTAAAATCACCAGGCATTCGAAAATGCCCAGACCTATCCATGAGACGCAAAAGCCGATAATCACGTGGCGAAACACGGTCTAACTACCTGTTACGAATTCATGTTGGGTACGGGAATAATTCACCAGTTATTCACAAATGTATACTGAATTAGATAAACTTATTTATATGTATAGAAGGATGGTGTCTTCATATCCCATGGAAGAGGAAAATGCAAATAAGATGTGTGTGTAAAAATGTGAACCTTATTACACCGCTATGTGCACAAGACATCTATATAATTACACTACAAAGCGCGCCGCGATAAATTTTCCGCCTTCCGCAGATTGCCTACAAGGCAAAGTGAATGATATTAATTTTATCACATTCATGACTGCACTACTTGCAGAACTTTTGCAAAAATGAATGAATAATATTAGCCAAAGCAAGCTCTGCAGATATTCATCTTCATATTGTTATTTCCTTCTTTTATATTTTATTAATAAAACAGGAAAACGTTGGTATTATAGCCTACATAAGCTTGTGACTTACCCACGCAAAGTAATCGAAACCTCGTTTTCTTTTGAGTTCTATTAAACTTAAAAATAAAGAACATTAACTTTCGGAAATTATTCAATCCGGAGCTCGTGACTGAGTAATGAGAAACAATAAATGTATACAAAGTTAGTATTAAGGTTTATTTCAAATTTTATTTTAATTGATATATATGTACTTGTATATACGATATGATTAGTAAGATATAAAAATAAACCGAATCACGAATGGAAATAGTGAAACCCAATTATTGTTTATGAGTAATTATGAAATTGGCGCAGTCGGAATTTCATACTTTCATTGAATATATAACGGAAACATAAAATATTAAGTTTGAGAAGCGTTTTCAACAGTCTATCAAACAAGAGAGTGAGGATCAAATATACGGACACGAAGTCCAAAACGATGTAGTAGGCTACTGGCATGCAATCTGTCACGGTAGAATACCGGTATCAGATATCAATCTACGAGAAAGCGGATCTGCGACAAATGTGATTTTGATCGCATCGCACAAAGAAGCGAAATTCCTGGAGGCCACAGAAATTTTTGAAGTAAATAAAATTAATTTACTCAAAGGGAAAATCGATTTTTTCATAACAATAAGAAAAATACCGACAACATCAACATAATAACGATCCACTCCATGTTCAATAGGACTCGCATTTTACTGATTCTCAACGATTCCTTCCATTTTTATATAATGATGAATTGTAATCGAATGACCCAGTAGTTTGCGAAAATATACAATTTTTTTACAACAACAACAACAATTTTGCAAAATGATCCATAGATCCATTTCTTGTCCAATAAGTGTGATTATAATTAGGCAGGCAAAACATTAGAGTCCATTTCTATCCACTCCACAACAGAGTCTCAAAATTAATGTGTGGTCCGTGTTTGACCATTCCATATAACACGAGATCAAAGCATTATTTAAGCATGAAAATAACGACCATAAAGCATGACTCTCGCTTGATAAGAGTTCATATTATTCATTTAAAAAGTAGAATAGATCATTCTGTTTTCATGAGTCAATCGAATTGACTATAAAAGTCATACGCAATGCGAGTTGAAGGCAGTTTTTGTGGCGTTGCTCTAAAAACGCATACAAAAAACAACTCCTAAACTGGATGAGAGAATTTGAGCAAGAAATAGCGAAGGAATTTTAGCCATCAGGGAGCGATGACTTCAACTCAAAATTTATATGGAGCGGAAGCCCGCTTCAATGGGAATGAAGGTAAAACGGTATAATCTTTTACTAAGGCAATTATTGTTTTATGTCAGATCAGTTTTATGTCAGAGCCACGCGTCATACGAGTCAAGTTTCACTGGCGGTTTGTTGATGACAAATCCGGGCCAATTTATTTGGATGACAAGAATCACTTCGAATTTTTATTTTTTAATAAATGATGAATCAATCTCCCTAATCACTGCCACTCGAATTGACATTTTCGATAAACTCATGTGTTATCCCAACAAAGTGGTTGGCGTGAAGGGAATTGAAGGCCACCCCCCTTTTTTTGAAACATTTCCCTGTATCTTACTTAGCAGTTTTGTTGCAGCCTGAAATGCTCTTTAGACCCTCAAGTCTCCGGACCTGCTAGCTGTTACGATATAACATGGTGACCAGCAGTTTTCAATCATTCACATCCATTTGAAAATTACTGGATCCGCCCCTGTTGGCATTAATATTTAAGCCTTTTATTGATAGGATAGGTTCAAAGTAACGCAAATTTATATGATATTTTTGCTCTATTTAAATCAAGCAAGATATTGCTTCGTTTTATAAACCATACCATTTTAATAATATATTAGAATATTGACTTAATTTCCGCAACCATTATTCAATTAATATTCAGCCGCCAACGCGACTTTTCACTAATACTCATCTATTGCGCCATGCCACTGCAACTTATGCGTCGTATTGTGCCCACTAATTTCAGTTGAAGGATTTTAAATTTATTTATCATCAATTATAGTCACGTACAGATCAATGAGTTCGTTCTGAACAACTGAAACTCATAAAGTAAAATTACATTTATTATGATTTTGTACCTAGTTAAAAAAATAACAAAATGTATAGATGGATTCATTTTTTATCACGAAATCTTAATTTACAGTTATTCGACACGAAATGAACCTATAGTTCGACCTAAGTTTCAATAGATAATCATTTTTTAATTAAAAAATCCGTAAATAATGGTCAACTTCTTCACGGGCACCATGACACCCGATTAGTTCGAGTACCCCTGTCTTTTCTTATCGAATATATACGAATGAAGTTAGTTTACTGCCGAAATTTGCCATGCAAGGGGCAAATAAAAGATGAAATTCCCCCTGTATTAAATCAGTAAATTCAGAACCCATTTTTTAAATTTTTGGTAGCGAATTTCAGCCATAACTCATTTCCTATTTGTGGACTCTGAAGGAAGTTGTTTCACCACAAACGTTTTTCAAAACATTAAAATATACATGATGGTCGCTAGAAAAACAGAAAACTTGTCAAAAAGCTATTTATTCTCACAAATGATGATTTGAAAACGAGCTCGGGATGAGCTTGAAAGGATATCTAACATTTATTTTAAAATTCGGTAACACACATATTAATATATACAGTGTCGATGGAAAATTCCATGAGTTCTATGCCGCCAGAAAGCATTCTCTCAACTACGCCAGCACAGATCACTTGGCAAGCAAGAAGCAATAAGAAAAGATGGCGAATCGTGGCTGCTATTTTTGCAATACTTTTCCTTGTTTTGCTATTCGTTATAATCGGAGTTCTCGTAAACTTGGCGTTTAACAAAAATAATCCGGTAAGTTTATATTAAGTGCTGATACATTTCCGTTCAGAACAAAGCGAAAGACTAATACGGTAATACCGTGTTTTTCCGAAATCAGAAATTTTTTAATCAGAAAAATAACACTAGGGATTATTTTCGGTGGATGTCTTATATTTTCATTTATCCAAAACAAAATTACAAAGTAGAGAATTACGAGATTTTCAAACATACAAAATATCGAAACCGATATTTATTTATTTATAAATGACACGTTTTTATTCGATATAGCTGCAAAACATAGTTTATCAATCATTCAAAACGTGTAGAGGAGATTTCGTGCTATCGACTAGGTCAAAAAAAAATTCGCGTTATTGACTAGGTCTTGTTTTAAGGGGAGGGCGTATATTGAAGCTATTTTAAAATTTAGGCTAGGCCTTATTTTCGGGGAAACATGGTATTCAGAGAGAACAGCGTTTTGGGAGTATTTTCCTGATTTGACCCAAAGACTTTGACTACAAACCGAAATCTTTATCTTGTGATTCTTTTTCAAATTTTCAACTTGTTTCCAATAGCGTAGGGGCTTCAAAGTTAAGGGCGGGAGAGGGGCAAAACTTTTGGGGCTCGTACCAAGATGGCACACAACCTGCTAACCCCAACCTGGTACACATACTATGTTCTGGTTGTGCGCCATCTTGGTACGAATACTACGGGAGCACCAAATTTTTTCTGTGACGCTCTGAACAATGCCAGGAACAAGCAGCCACAGATATCTAATCTTAAAGAGGTCCTCTATAGCAGGGGTGTCAAACTCGTGGGTTTCCGAGGGCCGCATTGCATTTTGGGAATGTGCAAAGGGCCGCAATCAGTTTTTGATATATTTTGATAATGTATACTTGAAGCATATTTTCAGATAGGTGTAGTTCGTGACATATATTGTGATGCAATTAAACAGCCGACTGAAGTTTTATCATTTTCCTAAATTTCAAATGCCATTTACATATTAATTTTTGCATTTTACTATTATTTTAATTTACTGCATTTATCACAAAAAATCATAAATTTGTACAACTATGTACAACTATTCAAAAAATCTTTGAACAGAGTTTCGATAAGCATAAGGAAACAATAAGACATATACGGAAAATGACTTAATCTATATCGTATATAGACCTAATGTTTATAAGAATACTACAGATAAACTCAATGTTTTTTTTTTTACTATATATGTACTGACGTTTGGCATCTCTTTTGTGCCACCAGCTTACTAATATCAGGCTGAAATGATTTTACAGTACCAACTCTAATTAACGAGGTCACATGATCATCGGTTAATCTGGATCGTTGAGAATGTTTTATTTAATTACAGTAATGCAAAAATATTACGTTTATCATTTGTAAATCAAACAAATGACTGACTTCCATATCAGACATTTTCTACCTTTACGTGGCATAGAATCGTTTGGGTTATGATTAATATTGATTTTTAGTAACAGGGTAGTTGTATAATTATAATAATATACAAACATATAAAAAATTTCAGTTCGAATTGTCTTTAAATTTGCCATATTGACTCCTGAGCTTATTCTGATAATGTCTACTTATATTGATTCTTCCATTGTACTGATGGAAATGTGACAAATTAAACAATGTGCTTTAGAATTTTGAGAAATGCAGAAATATTGCAACTCCCAATTTTCTTCAAAAATGCCATCTTCTCCATGTACTTTGCGTTTCATTTAAATTCTGAAGTTTTTTATTTTCAAGTATTCTTTTGCTAGCTTGAGGGGTATTCATAATTGGGTCAGATTGAAAACAAAAAAATTTTAATTTTCCAAATCTACTTTCAGTAAGTTGTCGTTTTCTGTGTGAATAATCAATTTCACAAAGGTTAGAAAAATGTATTACATTTAGATAATAAAAAAAACGTACAAAATACTACAAGTATTGTTAAGTGTTCGAGGGCCGCATTGGAAGCTCCCTCGGGCCGCAAGTTTGACACCCCTGCTCTATAGTATAGACTTACGAGCTTTTATATAACTGTCAATTCCTCAAAAGCGCGGCTGTTGTCGAACATTTCTTTGGGGGAGAGAGGAGGAGGGTTTTGTAGGAATGGAGTTTGAACCTGGAACGTGTTTTATGTTTAACAGAGTTAGTTCTCTAACTCCTTAGCATTAGGCACGGACGGACTATAAAGGATGATCTGTCCGTTTTTAATATGATCACCTGCGGTTCTAAAGTGATATCTGAAAAATTGTTACTCTATTGCAGGCTGATACCACGGTTCAGAATACCAACACCCCCAATACCCAAGGCCAGGTCGGGACATCTAGCACTACTTCGACCACCACTTCAACTTTGACCCCGAACATTGTTACCACAACAACGATGCAACCGACACCTACGCACACGCCAGACTACACTAGCAATGACGCAAAATCGTGCAAGGAGTTGAGGGAGCGTGGAGTGACTACCAGCGGAATATACATGATAAAGCCAGAAAAGTATTACGCTGCTATTGAGGTACGTGTTTACTAAGTTAGTAAAATGCGATGCTATTGGTCAGGGTTGTGCAACATTTTTTATCGGCGGGCCATATAACCAATTTCAGACATCTAGCTGGGCCAATTGAAAAGAAGAGAATTTGGCTATCGCTCAGCTTCTCAGTAATAAAGGGATCGGGAAACCGGCAGAAGATTTAACGCAAAACATTATGTATTTTACCTGTGTTAGCGACTTTTAACCTGTCAGCTTAGGATTTTATACTTGATGAGGAAAAATTCGAGTGTTGAAATGGGCCACACTAAATAACTTGGGGAACCGGGTTGTGGCCCGCGGGCCGCCTGTTGCACACCCCTGATATTGGTACCTAACTAAGCTGCCATTGAAACTTGTTCCACAGAGAGCAGGGGTTTTCAATCATTTTGATGAGACGGAACGCCAATGAAAAATTTCGGAGGCTCGATGAATAGTTTGATTGTTTTTTAAAACAACATAACGAGAATATCGGTATGAGGCCGCAGACTTATCGATCGAAAGTTAGGGGAACCCCAAAACAAAACCTGCGGTTTTGATTCTACCGCTCTTACTCCACAGCGACACCGTGTGTCACATCACTAATTAATTATTAACTCGCTAATTATACCACATAATTCATCCAAAATCAACAGGCTTTTGGTCCGAGATATGATGAATTCACATGCATGCAAATTTAGAGGAGATTCAATTTCGCTTTCTTGAGATATCGCGTAACATACAAAAGTGTCTAACAGACAAACACACAAATACCTATCAACATACTTACTGATCCTAAGATCGATAAGTAATAATACCAAAACGATCCATTGTTCTACTCTGTGTCGAAAAAAAATTTAGTTTTAAACTTTCATCGAAATTACGACTTTTCGATTGGACCAACCCGGGCTAGAATTTGGGTTTAGTATTTAAGAACAGTAGCGCCATATTACGATGAATATTTTTAAGCAACTAAGGACTTGAAGTCAAAGTTCTGAATACCCTGGTATCGGGAGTCAGTGTTTGACTTTTTGTGGCAATAAAATACTCCAAACATTTTGCTAATACCCAAAAACGTTAATTTTGCTATGCGTTCCAGTCTATAGTAGAAGTCTAATATACGTCACAGTTCTGTCATCCAAATTTGATCATCTTGGAGATTCAGAGTTGATTTTTTTTAACCAAAGTCAAAACTTGAAGTCGTAGTCAAATATATATTATATTTGAGTCTGGTTGCTATGGAAAGTAGCGCCATCTCCCGGAAATTGTTTTTCAAAAATTTTGTGCGATAGGAAGACATTGATGTACAGCAGCGTCATCATCTACCCCTACTAACCTTCTTTTTTATTTGCGTTTTGTATTTTTAAGGCCTTGTGCGATATGGAAACTGACGGAGGAGGATGGACACTAGTTGCCAGTATTCATGAATCAGATATCCGACGAAAATGTTATTCTGATGATGTCTGGTCCGGATACGTACCGAGATCTCAAATTCTATACACAGGTATTGTTTTTAATACAGTGGTTCGCAAACGGTGGGACAGGTCACACAATGGTGGGCGTAGAAAATTTTTTGAGAGGGCGTGAAGCTAATTATAATTATAATTTCTTTATTGTTTAGAGTCTGAACATAAGAGATGGCGAATTCATTCACTTATTTTCAACGTGTTTTTGAATAAAACATACTTTCGCCTCACTATCTGATATTCGTAGCTCATTGTTGGACACGTTTCAGTGGTTCGGTTCAAGATTGATTTTTTTGCCAGAAGGCTATTACTTTCATTTATTCCTGAATTTTCTATGAATCTCATGAGATCTAATATTTCATCCAAAATTGCGCTGTATTAATTTTTAATTATGGGAACACGGTTTTTAATCCGCCAAGCGTGACGGCTGACTGTGAAAATTCTTGCGACTGAAAACCCGGAACTTTTTGAGGGTACGGTACCGGTAACGTCAGAGGTAAACCCTGCTTCGCTCTAGTCCACGTGTCCATATATTTGAGCGTTGCTCTCTTGTTATTTTTTGAGGTGGGACGCGAGACGTGACAAAATTCTGGAAAGGGGGCGTGGCCTAAAAAGTTGAAAAGCCGCGGGTTTATATCACTGAAAAAATACCGGAGCTCCTGAACATATATTCTCAGTACATATTGGGCTTGTTTCGACCCTTAAAAAAAACTATGCATTTTCCATATTATTGACGGATTGTCCAGCTGAAGGTTAAAAAAACACACGATCAAAAAGATATGATGAAGTTAAGTTTAGGGGATATATCCGACCTTGAGAGACGCTTTTCCCATTTTTATTGTAGCCATTTCTCCAAGCTAGTTATGTGTGGTATGAGTTATTACACTATTTATAGTGAAAGTTCCTGTACTATTCTGTTTTGGCTTCGTATCCATATGTTGGAGCATTGCTCTCGCGTATATACATACCCCTATTACATCCTTCGGCACGCCGCCTTTAATTCCCCAACCCTTTTATTATAAACCTGTCAGAATAGAATTCTTATGTTTATTGGACACGAAATGCACGATGAATCGGTTAAATATTGTATTTGTCGCTAGAAGATTATTACCGTATATGCTCGTTTTACGCCCGATCTTAATTAAGGGCCCGTTTGAATAGCCGGCTGTGTGAACGGAACATAAAAATAAATAAGGGCCGGTGCTTGAATACCCGCCCGATGTAAAAGCTGATTTTTCAGTGGTAGAGAACAATAGGAAATAAGACGCGCTTTTGTCACAACGCTGTTGAATTTTAAACGCCGGTAGATAACACTCACGCCTTTGGCGTCCAAGTACATAACAGATAACATTGATTACGTAACACCATGGTTCTCAAACTGGGCGCCACGTCGTTTCAATATTGATAGGGCGTCGCAAAACTTTTCTTCTTTTGCGGATTTGTACCTGCGGTGCGTAGAAAAAGTCAAAATTTTAGTTATTCTCGTTCAAATCATACTTGAGAACTGGAAATAACAATATATTAATTATTATTGTAACGATCGAAAATAACAAGCGACCGTGCTTGAATAAGGGACGGTTTGAATAAGGGCCCGGTTAGTGAATTGGTTGAAACAAATATGGACACGGGCTACAAAACGAGCAAATATACGGTACTTTTATTTATTTCAAAAATTCTTGTGGGTTCTATGGGATTCATTTTTCGGTCTAAAGTTTGGTGTAGTGACGTCAACATAATTGAAAACCAAAATTAATTGTAGCGGTTCCGCGAACGTACTGCAGCGGATCTCGTGCTTAGAAAAAGTCGTTAAGACTGCAAGTGCTGTTACTTACTGTGATAATTCGTATACGCGTACTACTTCGTTTTGGCTTTCGTGTCCATATATTTGAGCGTCACCCTCTTGTCTATACTTTTTGCAGGCCAAACAAACTGGGACAATGAAATGATCTTTGGAAATGTTCATACATGCTCTGAGAACGATTATAAAAACTCGGTTTACTACACAGCTAATGTAAGTATAAACTAGCGTGTATTTTTCTGTCAAGGGCTGAGGTAATTCCCACTGTGAAATCCAGTTTTGCGAGATCAATTCCGAATAAAATTTACATATTTATATCGTAGGAGAGGAATGCCGATAAGACGGCCTAATAATGTGTCATCTCGTCCGGTTACCAGTCCATGTCGGGTATGGAATTTGTTAGCCAGTAATTTGTTTCAGATGCATGGATTTGATGGCGGAGGAAGCCGTTACCGATCAGCGGGAATGTGAACCACCCTACGGCGGCAAGGATTCCACTAACCCTGACGAACATAAATTTCCCCCGAGGGATTCGAACCTGCGAACTCACGCAGGGTAATCAGAGTTGCGATGGCGAGCGTATTCCTAATGCTTGGCACGATGCGCCACTCCGCGCCATTCCTGATAAATTGCGAAAATAGTCATTGCTCAATAAATTTGCCATACAAATTTTGGTGTAATAATAATAGTTTTCTAACGTTTTTTTTTTCATCTGTAATTCCTGAAATTTGAAATGCATTTATCCATTAATTGTCTAAGGCGCATCGAGCTAAGCGTTAGGAATACGTCACCGCACCTCTGATTACTCTTCGTGGGATCGAACGGTCGAATCCCTCTATGCGGGGATGTTATGTGCAAGAGGATTGCTGGACTCCTCACTTTCGTAGGGTGATACACGTAATCGCTAGTCGGTTACGACGTCCTCTTCCATCTAGTCCAAGGGTGTGCAAACTGCGGCCCGCGGGCCAAAAAATGCGGCTCACAAGGAAAAATTGTGTGGCCCGCGGGGAAATGCCAATTTTGAATGATGTGGCCGCGAAACGAGTTCTTAGTTCAGTTATTATAGTATGTGAGAGCAATTCCCATCCCTTTGTGTCGCAAAGTCAATACCAGTACATGAGTGGTACTGTTACATTAGCTAGCAAAATCCTGTTGTAAAATACACAACGTTATGAAAACGTGTTTCTCAATAAATTTGTTTAATGTCGGTGTGATGATAAATTTGAATAGCAGTTCTCTTTAGAAACTTATGCGTTTAACCATTTATGCAAGGACATCTAACAATGCCGTAAGATCAATAACAAAAAGAAACGATTTTTTATGCGTTCAACTATAGAAAGTCTATCTTGAAAAAGAGGTGCGGCCCGCGTCTTCTCTCATTTACTTTTACCTGAGCCTCCTGTAATAAAGGTTGCACACCGCTGATATTGTCCATGCTTACGAAAACATTTAACTGGCTAACTAATTCCATACCCAACATGGACTATAAACGGGCGAGAGGCCGTGGTTCGTCTTATAATTAAGTCGTCTTCTCGGCTTTTTCTTCCCCGGGATAAATATGTAAATCCTTGCAAGAACACCGACGAGCATTAGCCGAACGATCAACTTATACACTATGTGTCAAATAAATCAGGGCTTCCCAAACTTTTGAGATCGCGGCCCCTTTTTATATAATAAATTTTTTCGCGGCCCTTGTTCACGTTAATAATGCTAAACAGTTCGAAAAATGCATTTTTAATATTTTATTGACACAGCTAATTCTCAACTTTAGTAGGGCTACTCAATAACAAAAACAAGCACATATTTATTCAGGTTAACGTTACTCAGTTATTCAGTGTAATAAGTGCGAATGCTTTTTTCTGCATAACAAGTCCAGCCGTGGCTCAATGTTTGTTTATGCAGGTCCAAATAATGAATTACGGTGTCTGGCCACCGACGGCATGGTTCTTATCCGGAATTGTTACTCACTCTTATTGATCAAATTTAGCATAAGGCAGCGGTTTGTGCGACGCCAAATTATCAGGGAAACTCGCGGCGCAACTACACAAAAAATATGCTGCCTCAAAAAGAAAAAACACAATTCTGTCATCGTTAATGTGTACTTTATGCCTTTTGAGTTTTATAAACATGTAGGCCTAATGAATAAAGGCAAAAGTTAACTTTTATTTCTTATCCCTGCCTGGTTTTTCTTCAAAATGCCTAAAAATCACTCATGTTCGATAATCTCGGTTCAGCAAATGAATAAACTGCAGCCTACGAAATTGCAGCTCTTCTGTTACGCAACAATAGACCCTACGTAACAGAAAGTGAACAACATAGAATGGTAAAATGAATTTGATTCATAAACACATCATTTGCAATAATGAGAAAATAAAATACATTCAGAATAAATATTATATGTGAAATATGCATTGAGAAAATGAATGCAAAATCCGAAAAGGAGACTGAACCTAAATTTGAAAGTACAACTGATAGAGTACTTTGTGTAAATTTGGTGTTATCTTTGCGGCCCCTAAAATTCGTTCCGCGGCCCCTTCGAGGGCCGCGGCCCCTAGTTTGGGAAGCCCTGAAATAAATGAGATGTCCAATTATACTATAGGCCTCCGACGTCATGGTCTGGCACGCCCAATCAGGACTGCCTAATACGATAGTGAGAGATAGAGCAACACTACGCTACAGGACCACAAACAAATTTATGCAGAATTACGGAGGAAACCTAAAGAATCTGTTCAAAACCTATTACCCCTTAACTGTTAAAACTGATCGAGGTAAGTGTTTTTAATAATGGCGTCTTGTAATTATAATCACGGAAAATAATTTGGTACTACCGTAGTATGTGTACCAGGTTAGGGTTAGGCCACAATTTTTTTTCTGATTTTCCTTATTTTATATCTATTACGAGTTCGGGACTGTCTATGCTAGCCAAGTGAATATACCCCATGCCCTTAGGGTTCAGTCTCTTTACACAACTCGATGTAAAGTAGGCAAACAAAATCAGTTACCTCAATATTCGTACACATACTTCTGGAGGGCCAATCATTTAACTATCGCCTCTTGAATCTTTAACTTTACAATGACATCATAGCACGGGACAACGCCCTAACTTTCGTTTCATTTTTATCACCAATGAGGCAATAGCTTCTACTTTGTTTATATTGTTTCATATCTTCTACTTTGGTTAACACTAACTGAAACCTAATGGGCAGGGGGATATTCACTTGGCTAACACGGACAGTCCCCGAACTTGTAATAGAACTAAAATAAGGAAAATCGAAATATAATTAGGGTCTAACCCTAACCTGGTACACATACTTTGGAAATACCCACAATTCTAAGAATAGTCGGTTTCTTCTTGATATCAAACTCAACAGAATTCCCTCGTTTCATTCACATACATAAATCTGATGCATATTTTTCAAAACGCCAAATATAACGTTAGTCGTCAACTGTTGTTTAATGCATGTGATAGCACCTATTTGCCGAAGTCGTCTGACACTCTACGAACGGGTTCGCTGATTATGACGTCACTCCAGGAAGGGGTTCGCTGATATGACGCTAACCCAATAACAAATTCGCTGATTATGCCGTCACTCCGGTTTCGCTAATATAACGACACTCCAATAACGGGTTCGCTGATATTACGACACCCCAAGAACCAGAAAGAATCAGGTGAATATGACGTCACTCCAAAAACGGGTTCGTTGATATAACGACATTTCGAGAACGCGTTCGCTTGTTATGACGTCACTCCAAAGTGGGTTCGCTAATATGATGTCACTTCAAGAAAGGAATCGCTGCTATGACGACACCCCAAGTACGAATTCGCAGATTATGAGGACATCCCAAGTACGGGTTCCCTGATGTGTCGACATTTCAGGAACGGATTCGCTAATATGATGACACTCCAAGAACGAGTTCCCTTATTGTGACGACATCCCAAGAACGGGTTAGCTGAATATGACGACACTTCACGAACGACTTCGCTGATTATGACGACACTTCGCGAACGACTTTGCTGATTATGACGACACTCCAAGAACACTGATTAATACCAAAATATATTACAGAAAACAGAACAACAAAAGTTCTCAATGCATTGGTAGAAAAAGCAGCCGACATCCGATCCCAGATTCCTGATTGGTATGACTACACATACAACAGCGGAAGAACAAATACTATAAGCGGTGGCATGTTTAATTATGGACCCTATGTAAGTTAGATTAAAATTATTTCAAGTTGGTGAACGAAACGACTGATCTTTTGTACAAAACTGCCTCCCCTAATGCCGAAATTTGAAATAACACCCCCGCCACATTTTAAAATAACAAATTAGTAACTATACATTTAGGGTTGGGGTTTTGGGAATGATTTTAAAATCTGAATTCACAGCGTAATCTGCATTCCTGGCCCTCACCCTAACACTACCTGGATAATTATTTTTTATTTTATTCAAGCGGTAGTGGGGGTGTTTTTTTAGAAGGGGTTTTGTACAAAGATCCGAATCGACTTTCTTGGCACGGAGTGAACGTATGGATCAAATATTAAGAGTTTTTTCTAGTTATACCATACTATTCTATTAAATGTTAGAAATCGGTCAAATAAAACATTACAGGAATACATTTGTGTTAGTGTAAAAGAAGACTCAGGATTTCAATAGAGTAGTCCTCTTTATTTTGGATACAGCTTTGAATTTTACGCATATGGTTTGCGCAAAAGCATAGAGGGAGTTATTATCGCGTAACCCAAACTGATGGTATTTTCCCATTTCCACTTAAAACAAGGCTCTGTGTATGAATGCAGCCGCTGCATGTTTCAATATTCCAACATATCAGGGTTTCGCAAACGTTTGGTGTTATGGATCCTGCAAAGAGGTTGACTATTATTTATGGAACCCCACAATGAAATTATCAAAAAAAAAAAAAACACAATGTTACTTACGAATTAATGTTCCTGGGTAAATTATAATTAATTTATTTAATAACTCGATTGTATTTGCTGCCTTGTATTTAGGAAAGCTTCAAATTGCGTTTGCCAAATTTTATTAATGCCGTTGTTGCTACTCTGGACAGTCAGTATTTCAATGGATAATCGAATAGCAAGCGGAGCCCCTGGTTTTTCTCTCACAGATCTTTGGTGCTCAGTATGGAGCACTCTGAGAACCTATTCAATACATAATGACTCTTCGCTATTTTTTGTTGCAGTTGACTTTCGGGAGCAATCGTCAAAGTTATGGATATTTGTATTACGAGGAAGAATATGAGTAAGTTACTATATTATGATTTTTATTCAACCAGGTTCAAAAGTCATAATTCAAAGTTCAGACTTCAGAGAAGATAGATAATTTGTTTTGGAAACTCCTTAGTAGTGGTTCTCAAACATTTCAAGTCGCGCCCCTATTTTAGAATGTTAAGTCTCGCGCCCCACCTCAAAAATAACTTTAGCTAACAATAATAAGCTGTAAATAACAGATAGTAAGGCGAAAGTAATATAGCATATAATAAAAACTACAATAGCTCTCTGCAATCTCTAAACAATGAAGAAATCTAAATATCCAAAATAATGCGGGCAAGATCAAATCTGACAAATGTTTTTATTTTTAATTAGTTTCACGCCCCCTCAAATATTGTCCACGCTCCTTTTGAGGCGAGCGACACTGGTTGGAGATCTACTGCTCTATGATTTAAGTTTGTGCCTATGAAGTAAAAAGAAATATTTTCACGTTATGTCGGCGTCCCGGTAGGATGACGTCATATGTTTATATTATGATGTCACGGTTTTGTAATATGACGGCACGTTTCATAGGTTTGAATTAGGGCTTTGAGCAGACTGATAATGAATTCCTATACTGTTGAATAAATATTCATTTAAAATTTTCTGAACAATTCAAAATTTCATAAATTTTCAAATCCAAACTTATTATTCCTTTGTACCAGTTTAAACACTATACCATTTCGACCATTCGTCTGGGATGTGGGAACAGCCACATACGGATCAGAAATAGGAAGCAAACAAGAATAAATGATTTGAGGGTGTCCATATAGTCTTAAAATGTTTTAAAATTGCAAAGGGAATTTATAGATACTACTCATAAATGTATAAAATGAAGTAAAAATACTCAAACACTTACTGATTAAAAAACAACAAACCTGGTTAAGTTATATTGAAAACTGACTTCATAACAAAATTGAAATTGTAAAGGGACTTTATGGACACACTGTACAAGTTATCCAATATATTACAGGTATCTGAATATACAATATCTAAGCACCGTCAATAAAAAAATAGTTTACGCATCTTTTCAGACTCTCTTGGTCTAAAACTGGAATAAACAGCAGAAAATCACTTCCATTTCTGGCAGTTAGTGTGATTTCAAATGAAGATAAATTGAGCGAGTATTTCCGTATAAATGTAAGTACTTCTATTCTGATACAAAGTTCTCTCAATAAAGATTGATACTTGCACCGGTTATACATCGAGCACAGTACAGATCAAATAATAAAATTTGGTTTGGTAACCTGGTTTGGTTACATTGTACCCTTGACATGTGCAAATTACGGCCCTCCTGCAAAATCCGGCCCTTTGGTGCTGCCGCAACCAAACTGGAACTAAACTTTGAAGTTTTAGGTAAAAATAGCTCAAGCAATTTTTTGAGATTGCGATTAAATTTAGTTTGACACGAGGTTGTTGTTTTCCCCTTTTGCCTTTGTAACACTAGAAATATTGTTTATGAAATGTAACTTTTACGTTACACCTACATGGCCCGCCAGTCTAGGTGGGGGAAACTTTTGTCCACTGGTCCAAAAAAATTCCCAACCCCAATCCAATGGTTAAAATTGGCCCAGAAGTTTTAAACTTGAAGAAGTTGCATTTTCTAGTGGCCTCCAATAAATTTGAATTATAGCAGTGATACACACAAAATTTCTATAAATCCAACATTACATATTTTTTTTTTGCCCAGTGAAATTGTTAATTCTTGAAACTTATTCCATTTTACAATTTAGGCCTCACAAATGGCGATTGTAATGTATAAACGAGAATATTGGTCAGAGACCGAAGACTTATCGATCGAAAGTTAGGGGATCCCCCAAAACAGCGCTCTTACTCCATAGTGACACCTTGTGTCCCATCACTAATTAATCAATTACTCGCTAATTATACGACATAATTCATCCAATATCAATAGGCTACTGGTCCAAAATATTATGATTGCACATGCAAAATCTGGAGCAGATTCAATCTCGCTTTCGTGAGATATCGCTTGCATCTAACAGACATACACACAGACAGACAGACAGACAGAAAAATACCTATCAACATACTTACCGATTAAAATCGATTAGTAATAACATGCGAAATGAGGATTATAAATAGGATTCCATATGAATAAGTCGCCTTTCCTCTCCCCCGGAAAAAATATATAAATCCTATCGTATTACGTGTTTTTATTACAGTCATATTATCGACAAATAAGCGCAGAGAACAACTACACTTACTACTCCAACACAACCACTATGGGAAAATTCAAGCTGCAATACTACGTTGCTCAAGAACACAATAAGGCTTACCCGAGTCCATGTGAATTCTACTTTGTCGTTTCAAACAAGGAGGTAAGAGGGTAGGGTGTCTTAAGATGTTTGTAATAGGAGAAGTAATTAATTATTACTATATATATGTAGTTTGCTCCCTCCCCATCCCTGGGGCGTGCTAACGGGATGGGCATAGAGGCGGTCGCTCCAGTCAGCACATGTAGGGCCAGTAGGTCCAAGCTGTAGAGTATGGTTATTACACATGTTTTTTTGATTGCGTTTATTTAGATGAAAGCTGACTTAGTCTTGTGTGATTGAATCAGCATTGGCTGACTGCCTTTTCCAGGCAGTGTGCTCCTCTGGTTATTGCCCGATTTACCTCATAATACAAACATTTATTCTCACTTGACCTTTAATTTATTCACTCTCATGTATAACAACATCTATAATTTGCTTATCCCCCGAAATATTTTTGAAGTTTAGTATAAGGGGCATCGTTATCAGAAACTTGCTCTAGGCAGCAGAAAAATTTGGCACGTCCCCGGTTGGCCCCTGCAAGTTTATTAAACGAGATTGCGTTCAGTGACCGCCGACTTATTGATCTAGCGGCGTGTATCCTTCGCTTTGACTCAATAGTGATACCGCGTGTCTCATCACTAATTAATTAATAACTTGCTAATTATACAACATAATTCATCCTAAATCAATAGGCTTCTGAGATATGATGAATGCACATGCAAAATTTGGAGCAGATTCAACCTCTTTTTCGTGAGATATCGCGTGTATCTAACAGACAAACAGACAAATACCCATTAACATACTTACCGATCAATATCGATAAGTAATAATAAAGTATAAACTTGAATAAATAATATAGAACAAACCTGGTTAAGTAAGATTTACTGATGACTGTATTCAGTCAATATTCTCACGTTCACCCCTTATCCCATACGAAAAAATTGAAATGCTGAGTCTTTCCATCCCGTGAACTGTAAGTGTAATTACTTTGCCCCTGTTATTGAAAGTAGTCAACTATAAATTTCATTCTCAATGTAGCAGAACTGCTAAATAAAACTGTTAAATTTCCAGGATTGGAAATCAGATGAGCCCAGTTCTTTTAGGCGAACGTATCTGAGTAATTACTGGAGATACAGAAACCTGGAAATGAGAATTGAAGGAAACCCTTCGCATGTCGTATTTGGCTACATGCTTCTGGCAAGGTATAGTTTCTTGGGTACTCTCGTAGTGTGTGTAACAGGCAATGTATGATTTTCGTTACTCCGGTAGTTTGTGTGCCTGGTTAGGGTTAGGCCATAATTTTATTTCGATTTTCATTATTTTGTTCTATTACGAGTTCGGAGACTGTCTGTGTTAGCCAAGTGAATATAAACTTGACCGAAAGTTTCAGTCTTTTTACACAACTTGACTTAAAATAGGCGAACAAAATCAGTTACCTCCATATTGATTCATACACTTCCGGAGCGTCCAAATTTTTTTTGTTAAGATTAAGAATATAAATATCAAACCATTGTAACTAAACGATGTACATGTTTGAATTTCTGAACCGTTTGTCAAATTGTTTAGGTTGCTTGTCGACGTTTATGCCCTAATGGTTTAAAGCGTAGACTTAACTGTGCTGGTATCGCAGTGTAAAAACATCCCACGTCAACCACCTCACCCAGAGTCTAACAAACTGGATAGGCCAAATTTTTAAATATTCAGCTAATTCAGGAATATAGTTTATTCTATAAGTATTGAAGTGGAAGTTTGTATAAAAGCGGATAGTTTCAAGGGACCTCCTGAAGTAATGGCGCACCATGATGGCGCACTACCTGAACTCAGGTTGTGTACCAGGTTAGGGTTCAGGTTGTGCGACATCTTGGTGCGCATACTTTAGAAGTGCCGTTTCCAAAGTCTCGTGTCGAACTCTTTCCACTAGCAATTTTTCGCGGCGTGGATAAACTATTACATAGTCACGTTCTTGACAATTGCTACTCTTCTGTCAATACTATTTTCCACTTAGAGACCCGGCATCTCGCTTTGATAAAACTTGTATTTAAAAACAAATTAGGCATGTTAAAACCGAACTACAACAATTTTTATTTAAACTTTGATTCAAAAAAATATTTAAAACTCAAATTGCTAATCGCCATTTTGAAATTATTTCGTAGCGCGAACGGATAATTTTTAGGTGAGTATAAACCTGTCTGTTTTCAGAAAAGCAAATTTGAATATCACATCTGATGAGACCATAGCTCAAGCTCAGAAAGTTGCTAAACTTGTTTTGGAAGCATTCTCAACACAAAAAGACTTGTTTAACGGTAAGATATGATAGTGCAGTGCTTCCAAAGCTTTTTTTCGCTACAGTCTTCTCCCTCATCATCGGTATGTATAAAATCCCCATTTCCGTTATTTTTCAATATTTAATGAATTAGTCAGAGGTACTCAAACGGTGAGGCGCTTCCGCACAAGGGGGCGTAGACATTTTTTTTATTGGGCGTGAAGCTAATTAATATAAAGCCACATACAATCACAAACAAAGTGTTCGAGATTCGATTCGTTTCAAAATAAAAAAAATATTTGTTCCGATTCTGAAATCATCAGGTATTCGAAAAGGCTCAGCCCTACTCATAAGCACAACATATTGCAACTGTTTATAAACAATAAAATCACAGTGGACTTTTACCTGGATATACTCTTTCATACCCTGCTTAAAAAATTATTTAAATTTAAATTTATTATCATGCTAAGAAAAACTATAAATATCATAAAGTAAATGCACACACATATACACCCACACACAACACAACAAACAACACACACATTAAACCACTCTAATTATATAACGCATGAGTCGTCATAAAGATTGCTAATACTTGGATAAGTTGAATGATCGATAACCATTGTTCTTAACTATTTTTAAAATTGATTATACTTCAGAGGACGCCGAAGAAAGTCTTCAGGTCCCAATTACATTCGACCAAGGCAGCAAGCAAGATATTTTGAACATGATTCCACCTGTCTATACAGACTACATTACACCAGGATACCTGCAGTTCAGGGCCAACAATTTAGCTGGGTATCCTAATGCTCTATGTCCCGGAATCTCGTAAGTATTCATTGTCTTAATTCGGAGTTCTTTAAAATTCTATCATCACGGCTCCTTTTGCACGACCAAACTCCGGGAACTAAAATAAAACCAACGTAGGTTTGAAATGCCACATAAAATTTTCTGGAAACACAGGGTCGTCACAATGCATGATACGATGGCTTTTAAAATCTCTGCAACATTGGTTGCTTTAGTAAATGTCGCATTCCTTTTTTTGTTTTGTTGCGATTACAATGTATAGGTATGGACGGAAATATATATCTTTCTTGTCTAAGGTGATGCGGGGTGAATCATGGTAGTCAAAATAGGACATTATGATATAGGTTGGGAGGTTTCAATGGCCTATTTAGTAAGAACTTTGTTATTGGACACAAAGTCTGAATATGGATCATTTTGCCAACTTCTTGTTTTGGTTGTCGTTGTTGTTTTCGAGGAAAAATAACTGTTTCCGCAACTAATGGAACAGTCACTTTTAATATTCTAAAGGTTTATTCTTTCACAGTGTTCAGTCTATCTCACCAGAATACCTTTGCATCGGTGGAATATCAAGCGATGTGTCTGATCATGGAACGTGTGGAGACTTCGCAGGTAAAAAAAAACTTCACTAATACATACTCAGTATTTGATCTTGTGTCCGTATTATGTTATTATTATTACAAATTTCGGTTAATTTATTTTCATTTAGTACTAGATCATCCAAGTCCAAGGACCGGACCCGATAGATGTTGCGGTCTTACTTGGCAATTAGAATTTTTAGAACCCCGCCCTTTGAAAATTGCTGGCTACGCCCTTGGGGGCGGTACGCAATGTTGGAAAACTTTACTACTTACTTTACATCTAAACCGTGGTAAACATTAAAAGCGGACAGCATTTGTTTTTGTGTGCAGTCTCGTTCAAGACAAATTAAATTAAACACTTTATTGACGAAGTTTAATGGATCTTAATTAACTTTATTATTCTAGGCTGGGGTGGACGAGAGGATGATTCTATATTAACTCATCAACCATCTGGATCCGCTCATTCGCACAGGGATTTGTTCTCGTCTTTACTACTGTTTTATCGTTGATTTGAATGCCTAACTGACTGTTTAGATAGTAATGAAGAAAACTGAAGATTGAAAATGAAATGAACTTGATGATGAATTCATCAATATTATAAAATGATGATTTTTTTGCTATCAAAATTACTTTTATTACAATGTATCATTGATTGACCCATAGGTTATTTTTCTGATCGTATAGAAGTTCTTTATTCGCCTTATCAATCGGTTATAAATAACGTTTGATCGTACGTTATGTTTTTTCATATTTCCAGTAGCTATTTTTGTTTTTATTTATGGCTGGTAACTCAATGAAATCGTTTATTATTAGCGATTCGGGAAAACAGGCACAATGAAATGAAAGCAAATTCAAAATTATATAATTTTCATGCGTTCGCCCAAAATGGACAAAATTAACTTAAAAATGTCCATTCGATCTATTTGTCAGCGGCTGCCTTGGCTTTGAGAACACCTTTTTGCTCCTAAGTGGGCGTGCTTAACCTTTCGCTTTGCACATTCAATTTTTGGTTTAATAATTTTGTTTATTATTCATTACATGATTTAGCAATAACCAGACAAAAATTTTTGATATATGGGGTGTCCATGAAGTTATAAAATTTTTTAAAATTGCAAAGGGAATTTATCGATACCATACATTGTTTTGGCTCTCGCAGATGTATTAACTGAAGTAAAAATACTTATAAAAATACTTGTTGAAAATCAACAAATCTGGTTAAGATATATTGAGAACTGACTCCATAACAGAATTGAAAGTGTAAAGAAATTTTATGGACACTTGTATATTTCATTGTATTTTATTAAATAATTGTTAATTAATAATGGGCAGCTCAACAGTTCTATCACCTCAATAATTTGTGTCTTTATTGTTTTTTAGTGATTTTAATTGTATTATTTTTTTCATTGTTAAAAATACTTAATTTTTTTCTTCGACTATTAAAACTCAATGAACTTTTGAAGTGAAACTTTACTAGGTTTTAGAGATGCACACCGAGTCACGTGTAAAGATTGTGTGCCCAAAGTTTGTGAAAGTTTCAGACTATAGTTATGATTTATTATTTAAAGAAACGTTTTTTCACGGAAACCTCAGATCTCGCCTAGCCTCGGGTTTATAAATTTGGTTGGTAATGTCGAACTGTTAAAATACCTTTTCAAAATTTGTAACACTTCATTTATCTCTTGTGCTAAGTGAAAGTGTTGAAATTCCTCATGAAACTTTGATTATTACATATCATGATTGCTTCTTTAAGAATATTTAAATAATTGAATCCGCTTTTTAATAGCGCATGTCTTTACAATGTATGCCTGACTGCCATCTGAGAATCTTCATTAATAATATCTGATGCATTGTGTTTTTTTATCAAGTTTTTCGAATCATAATTTTCTCTTGTCACTGGAAAATAAAATTCAACATGTTTTTGTTAATATAATGATTACTATATATTTCTCACCTTTGCTCAACTTCAAATATAATGAGTTGTATATATCATATAATAATGTGAATGTGCTCAATTTGGTGTGTTTAAAACATCAGGTATTCAATTTTTTGCTCATTTAAAACATACTTCGAACATGCGATTAAGGCATCCTGTGAAATTTGGCAAAATATGTTCGGACGATCGCGGAGGCTTCTCGGGCAGACCAAGGCGGTGCAATAGTGTCACGAGCTGGACAAGTGCAATATAAGGCGGGCGAGTGGGACACGAAGTTGCTTCCATATATTAACAGTTCAATGTATGTCTTACACTAGCGGTTTCCAAACTTTTTGTCTGTGCGGCGGCAAATTCTTATTTAAAAATAAATGGACAACAAAACATTTATAATAATTACAACATGTAAAATATTCAATCATATATTATAGTTATGTCAACACAATTTGAGAACCGCCACTTGAGAACCGCCGTGTTACTCATTGTTAAAGATTGTTAAAATGGAGCTCCAGAAGTGTGTGTACCAACATGGAGGTAACTAATTTTGTTCGCCTGCTTTACATCAAGTTGTGCAATAGGACTGAAACATATGGGCAGGGAGTTTATTCACTTGGCTAACACAGACAGTCCCGATCTCGTAAGAAAACTAAAATAAAGAAAATCGGAATAAAATTATGATCTAACCCTAACCTGTTACACATACTATGGAAGTACCGTTAAAATGTCACAGTTTCTTTATGTCTAATTGCACCTGGTTCATTCTACATTAAATGTATCAATTGTCCAAAGGTGATTCCAATAAAAGCCAAGTAGAGCCACTAGGGCCTAGGCCAAGGGTCGGCAACCTACGGCCCGCGGGCCGGGTCCGGCCCGCGACGCTCCATTAAATTATAGTAACAAAACATCCGTTTGGACGAATATAATCTTTAGACTAAATTATAGTATAACCTAACAATTCTATATTTCACAATTACTCGTTTAATGAGCATATAATTTAATTATAATCAGGCAAATGGCAACAAAACGCAGAAAAGTTGATGCTAGGATGCAATGGCGCTGAAAATATTCAAATGACATTTTATGAGATGCAATAAGGAAATAAATCTATATTCTATTCGAGAGATGTATCACTGCTTGATTTTTATTATAAAAAGTAACATCGGTTCGGTTTTTCAACTTTTTAAAAATATGTGCGGCCCGCCAATGACTTGCAGCCTTAATTTTGGCCCGCGAGCGACAAAAGGTTGCCGACCCCTGGCCTAGGTCAAAACAGTTACTTACTTAATGACAAAAGCGACGACGAGTAACAGACGATAGGTAATCAAATAAGTACACCGATACTAATTTCGCAATCATTACCTAAAGCAGATACAATTCATCATATCAATGTTATCAGTATGTCAGGTATCTGCTTTCGAAAACTTCAGGTTAAAACTGTCGGTCCATGTTCACAACATGACGTAAGTACTTTCAGTTGGCGTGGCACAACCTTTTTGCATATGGTATACCTAACCACCACCTGACTACGCCATTCAATAAATACGTCACTAACGTACCATTACGCCCCCCCCCTCATTTTGGGATGCGAAGGAATATAGTCGCTCGAAACCTCCTGGTATTGATGTTATTCTAGAGTTCTGTATGTGACGTTTTGCAAAATTTATCGCACACTCTTAACAGGAAGGTTTACAATGAGGAATTATATTCACATAATTGGACTTGAAGTAATGTTTGTATGGTTGGGCTTAGAGTAATATCCTCACTTTGCAAGTTTTTTCCAATCTCATTTTACAGACAGTTTTCACAATGCAACAAATCTGTTAGCAAGCATATGCATGCAAAATTCCAATTGATATATTAATTGTTGCTGACATTGTTTTGCAACGCAGCCAAAACGTGATTCATTGATTGGATACAAAAGTTGCATTTTTTAATTTGAAATACGGTACTTTTCGTCCATGCGATCAATTATTTGTGTACACTGTACAGTAAGAGAGTATTCGGGGCTTTCAACAATTAATGTATTTTGCGCCAGACAATTTAATTAAAGCATATTTTTAATTGGAGATGAGCGCGGAATTTTCTGTCATATTACTCTTCACAGTACGTAACGATTTATACTAGCATGCAATTATGCATTATGCATTGAATACAAAAGTTTTCAATCGAAATTCAGTACATTCCGCTTATTCGATTTTGCAATCCGCGGAAGTGTACGTGTAGTGAGAAAATTTTAAGAACAATATAAAACAAACTTTCAATTAGAGACGTATACGCGGAACTGCCTTATTCAACTCTCCACAGTTAATATAGTAACGATATATACTTGCGTACATTTATGCATTTTGATTATGGATTTGAAGTTGCGCGTTTGCGTGTTCTCGTGATATCTATTCGATTTAATGAAATAATGTTCAATGTAAATACTCTACATTTAATAAGTTTTACTTCACAAATTCAAACATTAAAGCTTAAGTGCAGGGGTTGCTTAAATTAGTTTTTTTGATACGAAAACCGATGTCATATTCGCGCATTTCAGATAGGTATTACAAGAGCATTGAAGCAATTTTAGCTTCGTATTGTTAATTTATTTGGCGCTTATACACTCTTTTCACTCCGAACAAGACTATGTATATTCAACCCTAATATCTCACGATTAAATATCTACTGTGTATTCGAGATTTTAATTCGAAAAAATATTCGATTCTATTCTGAAATCATTAGCTATTCGAAAATGACTAGCCATACGCATGGTATGGAAGGAGTTACTTTTATCTCAAAGGAACGCAATCCTTCTGGCTCGGCATTGTCAGCTTAATTGTACGTTTGTGACCTATTTTTAACTTGATTATGTTGTAATGCCTCTAGCAGTTTGTTTGTATACATCGCACGTAACTTTGACGTCAATGGATAAAGATGAACAAATGATAAATAATCGAGATTGAAGATTATTCCAAAATACGTTATTATTACTCTAATTTGCATATTTTATAATATTTTTTGTAAATGCGATCTGATTATGGAAAAATAACGAATATGCGTGTGATGCGATAATATGCGATGAATGAACCAAGACCAAACTTGAAAATACGGTCTTACTACTTACTGAATACAGCGCGAAACACCGCAAAAAGCGCAAAACAGCGCAAAACAGTGGGGAAACAGCGCAAAACAGTGCGAAAGAGAGCAGAACAGAGGGAAACAGTGTAAAGCAGAAAAAATTTTTGCAATGAGTTCGGGACACCTTGTTTTGAGTTGGAGTACCACGGCAGCAAATTAAAAACACAAACCAACGTATGTAGCCAGTAATGCTGTAATGGCAGGTCTGCCCCTGCTGGTGACACATTTTGGGTACCATAATTTGGAACATTTTCCATATGGATATGGTTGGCTTTAGGGTTATTATGGTACCCAAAATGTGTTACCAGCAGGGGCAGACTTGCCATTACAGCATTACTGGCTACATACGTTGGTTTGTGTTTTTAATTTGCTGCCGTGGTACTCCAACTCAAAACAAGGTGCCCCGAACTCATTGCAAAATTTTTTTCTGCTTCACACTGTTTCCCTCTGTTTTGCGCTCTTTCGCGCTGTTTTGCTCTGTTTCCCCACAGTTTCGCGCTGTTTTGCTCTGTTTT